AAAAACCAGATCTGGCTAGTTGAAGGATAAAAAAAGAAAGAAAGAAAGAAAAAAAAGACTGCATTAGAAGCATACTGAAGAAAACTAGAAATCCAAAGAAGAGGTGAACAACCTAACTTGGGAAGGGTAAGAACAAGGCCAAACTAGAGACTCAGAGACAGCAGTTGTTGGATTTTGCTTTGGAAAGCTGCTGTTAACATAATTCAGGTCCATGACCTTTTAAGGCTCTACATGTCTTTGTTCAAAATTCCAAACTTTTGGTAGATGAGGCTGAAGGCCAAACTAAGTCATCTGCCCATCCCTGGATCAATGCGCAAGAAGGCAGTGGGGTGACTGCTAAGTTTCAGATATAATTTGAATATGTCCCCCAAGGAATCAGATGTTGGAGGCGTGGTCTTTAGTGTAGCAATATTGGGAGATGGTATAAATTTTTAAGATGTGTAGCCTAGAGAGAGGTCCTTAGGTCATCAATGATACTATCTTTGGAGAGACTAAGGTTGTTCTTGTAAGAGCAAGTTGTTATGAGTGAGTCTGAATCCTGAATCTCTGTGGGCCTTCTGTCTGAGGATGGGACCTTTTATACCTGTTCATGCTCCTGTCATCCATCGTGAGATCCTAACCAGAGGCCAATTCAATGGGGTCATTTAATCTTTTGACTTTCAGCCTCCAAAACTGTGAGCTAAATAAGCCTCTCTTTTTTTTTTCTTTTAACCTTTTTTCATTTTCTTTTTATTAATATAAAGAGAACAGACTTCATGTATTTCATAGGTACAGTTCTAAGAAAATAACCATAATTCTCTACCTCTCCTTTTCCCTCTCCCTCAATCCCCCTCCTTCCTCCCTTTCTTCTTTTCCTTTAATTTGTGAAAGGACATGGTTTCAATCCACTCTATAGACGCACAGGCTTAATTCACCACTAACCATAATATTCAACAAGTAAAAAGTAGGAAGACCACAGTTCCACAGGAGAATAAACATGGGCTGAAAACAATGATCATATCACAAAATGACCATTTCATTCCTATACATTTATTTGTATTCCATATTAACTGCCACATATCAGATAAAACATGATATTTATCTTTTGGGGACTGGCTTATTTTACTAAGCATAATGGTTTCTAGGTACATCCATTTTGTTGCAAAAGACAGGATTTCATTCTTTTTTATGGATGAGTAGTATTCCATAGTGTATGTATCCCTCATTTTCTTTATCTAGTCATCAGTTGATGAACATCTGAGTTGATTATATTTCTTACTTATTGTGAATTGAGCTGCAATAAACATGGGGGTATGGATAACTAATTTCATTATGGATAAAATTTCATTTTATTTAGATAAATTCCCAGAAGTGCAATGACTAGATCATATAGAAGATCTATTTTCAGATTTTTGAGGAATCGCTATACTGTCTTCCATAAAAGTTGTACTACTTTAACCTCAGGTATTTCACTATGTTAATGAATAACAAACTAATAGTTATTAAGCTTAGACATAGTTCCAGGTAATCACCCTATGCACTGGAACAGTTTCCAGGAAAGAGGAAGTCTTAGACAATATAACCACAAGAAGTTTCCACTGCAGAGAAAGAGAAAACTAGGCAAGAAACTTCAGGTATGAACAACAATGAAGGAAAGAAGAAAACTTTAAAGAAAATATATAACAAAGTATTGAGGAAGGAAATGATACTCAAACTGGAATGGGAAGGATGTGTGCGAGTCAGCCAGTCATAGAGGAAAGAAGAGAACCAGGAGAGAAATCAGCTTATGTAAAGAGTCCAGGAGTGGCAGACAGCATAACACAGTCCCCACGCCGGTTAATGCCATCATGACCAGAACCAAGAAGAAACAGGAGGTAAGAAATTTAGGTACTGAAAAGCCACATAAGAACCAGGTAGAGGCCAGTGCAGTGGCTCAATAGGCTAATCCTCTGCCTGTGGCGCCGGCACACTGGGTTCTAGTCCCGGTCGGGGTGCCAGATTCTGTCCCGGTTGCCCCTCTTCCAGTCCAGCTCTCTGCACACCAGCCACAGCGGCCATTGTGGGGTGAACCAATGGTAAAAGGAAGATCTTTATCTCTGTCTCTCTCTCACTGTCCACTCTGCCTGTCAAAAAAATAAATTAAAAAAAAAAAAAAAAGAACCAGGTAGAATTTTGAACTTCAGTCCATAGGCAATGGAAAGCTATAAAAGAGTGGCAGAAGAACTAGATACACCTTTAAAAAAGATTAACAGTAATTGTGCATATTTATGGGGTATAATGTAATATTTCCATACACGCATATATTTTTTAGTGATCATATTAGAACAGTCTCTGGTAGGTGACCCCACAGCACCAATGGCAGTTCGGCAGGCTCACTGACGAAGTAGAAGTCCAAGTACATTTGAAAGCCTTCTCTCCCTCTTTTTGGTTGACAGCAGATCTCTCCAGGGGTTCTTGATGACCCCCTCTCCCCATGGTTTTGGGTGGAACATTATTTTCAGTGGAAATTAAAAAGTTGTCACATTTAAAATGTGTCAACATGAGGTTTAAAAAATTCCCCAAATGGACTATAGTTGTTCCTCTGTATCCAGGGATGGTACATCCATGGATGTTAACAACCACAAATTCAAAATATTAAAAATAACTTATCTCTGTACTGAAAAAAAGATTAATGTATTTATTTGAAAGGCAGAGTGATGGATGGAGTGGTGGGGGGCGGGCGGGGGATTCAGAGAAAGAAAAACATCTTTCATGTACTGGTTCACTCCCCAAGTGGCCCAAACAGCCATGGCTGGGCCAGGAAAAAGCCAGGAGGCCTGATCTCCATATGGGTCTTTCCCATGTGTGGCAGGACCCAAATATTTATATCATCTGCTGCTGCGTTCCAAGGTGCATTAGCAGGGTGGTGGATGCAAAGCAAAGCATCTGGAATTTTAACAAGCACTCCAATATGCAATGCTGGCATGGCAAGTGGGGGCTCAACCTACTCTGCCACAATGCCAGCCCCCTAGATGTGGCTTTTTAAAGAGAGCACCCAGAAGGCAGTTAATTTGCTCACAACTACCTGTTAACAAAAAGATGAAGGACTTTGGAATCAGACAAGATTAGAGTCCCAGTACCATTGGATGCTTCTGTGATGACAAATACAATATTGCTTTAAAATCTCAAATCTGACATCTGCAAAATGGAAATACTGCCTATCTTGGAGGGCCACTGTTACTATTAACAAACATAAACATTAATTTTCCAGAACACTATGAACAATAAATAGTAGTTATTGTTACTATTCTTATCATTGCCTTTGCTATATTTTGTTTTGCCATCTAATTTCTCCTCATTGCCTTTCAATTTAGCTGGTATTTATTGAATATTTATTGAATGTTATGTAAAGCTAAGTGTGGTATAAGTATTTTCTCACTAAGACTCAAAACAATCCTCTAAGCCAAGTACTATTACTACCTGTTCATAGAAGATGCAGAAACTTTAATTTAGAGACTGGTACAGCATCAAGATCAGATTTCTAGGAAAAGAACTATGGGCTCCATGAGAGCAATTCTGAATTTTTACTTCAGGGTCTATCTCATTACCATATAGCCAATGGATATTCAGCTTATACTGGATAAAGGACTGGATGAAATTCTCATTTAGAATTTCAGAAAAACGTAAAAGAATGCACAAGAAAGTCCATAAGAGAGAAAAACAACTATTTTTAGGTATGTTACTATAAATGTTATTTTGGGGTAAGTGTTTGGCACAGCAGTGAAGTGATGCTTGGGCTGCATATCTGCATCCTATGTTAAAATGCCTGGGTTTGAATTCTGGCTCTGCTCCTAATTCCAGCTTACTGCTAATGTAGGCCCTGGAAGGCAGTAGGTGATGGTTCAAGTCACTGAGTTCCTGCCACCCATGTTGGGGACGTGGATTAGGTTTTAAACTGGCATGGGCCTGGCCCTGTCCCAGCCATTGCAGGCATTTGGTAAGCAAACCAGTGGATGGAAGATCTCTTTTTGACCACCTGTCTTTCTGTCTCTCTACCTGCCTTTAAAATAAAATGAAAATTGGAAATATAGGATGGGGCCAGTGCTGTAGCATAGCAGGTAAAGCCACAGCCTACAGTGCCAGCATCCATATGGGTGCTGGTTCGAGTCCCAGCTGCTCCACTTCCAATCCAGCTCTTTGCTACGGCCTGGGAAAGCAGCAGAAGATGGCCCAAGTGCTTGGGCCCCCACACCCATGTGAGAGACCTGGAAGAAGCTCCTGGCTTCAGATTGGCCCAGCTCTGGCTGTTACAGCTGTTTGAGGAATGAACCAGAGGCAGGATGATATCTTCTGTCTCACTCCTTCACTTTCACTCTTTCAATTAAATGAAAATAAATAGACATAAAAATAGAAATACTATTTTGCTTTTTTTTAATTTCAAATTCACAGATCAGTGTATCACAGAGCTGTTCCTGTATCAGAAACTACAACACCTAGTGACTTGAAACTTACTGTCCTTCACATTTCCCTTGGGTAATCTGGACAGTTCTGCTGGTCTGATTGCTATCTCTGCCAGTCTCTACCATGCAGCTCTGGTCAACTGGCAAGTTAAGTGTGCTGGCAGCAGAGTAGTCTAGCATAGTGTATTAGGTTCCTGTTGTTACTACAAAATATTACCACAAACTCAGTGGCTTAAAATAAACTTATCATCTTATAGTTCTTCAGGTCAGAATCTGTCTGAACTAAAATCAAAGTAGGAACAGGATTGCTTCCTTTTGGGGACTTGAGAGGAGAACCTGTTCTCTTGCCTTTTCCAGACTCTGAAGATCACCTGTACTCCTGTCTCATGATTTCTCCCTCCATCTTCAAAGCTATCAGCAGAACATCTTCAACTGTTCTGACTTCCAACCTTGATCCACATCTTCCCTGACTCCAACCTTCTGATTTCTGATCTCCATCTTGCAAGAACCCTTGTAATTACAATAAACTCACCAAAATAATTTGATACACAAATCCATCTCAAAATAATTGATTGAATCATATTTTCAGAATCTCTTTTATTATGTAAGGAAAGATATGCTCTGGTTTTGGTGAGTAGGACATGGACATAAACTGAGATAGCTTATTTTGCCTTCCATGGGTGGGTTCCATCATACATCTTGCAGTTGGCAGATTGTTAGTGGGGATGTCTCAGTTCTTCTCTGTGTGATCTTTTTTCCTTCACAGGTGGTTGCGGGGGTGTGGTAATAAAACATAGTGGTCTCAGTGTTCTGGCTCCACAAGAGATCAGGCTCCAAGGCACAAGCATTTACCTGTTCTCTGCCATGATCACAACTGCTTTGTCTCTTTAACCAAAGAAGTCCCATGACCAGTCCAGATTTAAGAAGTAAAGAGATGTATGTTGGCTCCACTTCTTTATGGAAGGATTAAAACATCTGTGTTTAAGAGCTTAGGTGGAAGGAGGGGAAGAATTACACTTTTATCATCTACCACAAATGGCATAACATGTGAGTGAGGTCTTCCAGACAAGTCCATCACTGGTAGAAATAACTGAGTTCATTGTACAAGCTGTTTCCATGCCTAGAATGCTCAAAATGCATTTGTCTCTTCCTGGCTAAATTATCCATGTTCTTCAGATCTTAGCTTAGAAATAAGTTCCTCCAAGAAACTCCTTTCAATCCCAAATCACATACGCTTATTGGAGCTTTATCTTTGTGCTCTCATCATATTTACTACATATTTTCCAACATAACATTAACACTGTCTTGAAATCACCTGTTCAGTTTTCTGTCTTTCCACCTAGACCATAAGCTTCTTGTGGACAGAAGATAGGTCTTAGCTGTCCTTGCTTTCCCTGCGATTTAGAGGTGTACAATCCATATGTAGCAGATGTAAGAATTTATTGAATACATATTATCAAGTGGTCTATAAACTCCATCCCTTACTACCAGTAATATTTCATTAAAATTCGTATCTTTCTTAATGACTTTGTAATTCTATACCTGTTTTTATTTCTAATTTGGAACCAAGTCTTACATTGATAAGTCAAATAGGAAAGAAAGGAATTATTTGTACTATCAGTTATAGAAAAACTTTTCTCCAGAATACAAAGTTAAATTGTGACTTTGAAAGCTTGATATCATAAATTGTGTGACATTTAGTAAATCCATACTTTGTCACCAAGGGCTGCCTAGAGATCTCTGAAGGCTTTCTTCAGTTGGGTGGCCAGACAAAATTGAGAAGCCAGGGTTAACTTGACTGCAGTTCCTTTAAACTAAAACCAAAATAAAAGCTGAAGTATTTTGGGATGCTTCCAGGAAGGTCTTAAGGGGCTGACTGATTGCTGTTAATACATAAGGCAGAAGGCAAAGATTTCCGAAATTACATGACTCAAGGGCTAAAATTCCAACACTGCAGACACAACATGAGTAAGCAGCCTGCTTCAAATTGCCAATGGAATTAAGGAATAGAAACAGAGATGGTGAGTTACAAGAAACAGAGCTTGTTTGGAGAAAGGATACCCTGTATGCCTGTAACCAAGAAAGCCAGCTATAATATAAGCTAAAATGAAAAGCACAGGTGTTCAATATGAAGAAATAACCAAGGAAAACCTACCCCTGTGTTATTTTCCAATGTTGTATTCTATGGATCACACTTGAAATAGGTGTGGGTGCTCTATAGTTTTTTTTTTTTTGAACCCAGGTAATGATATTTTTATAACCTAAGTTACAAGAGACACAATGGATTAATGATAGCATTGAAGCTCTGAAACATTTACCAAAAATTTAGATATCTTGGTAATGTTTCTATTACAATGTTAAAACGCTGAATATTACATATTATTGCAGTCAATGATGCCTTTAAACAGATAACAGTTAATAATAACAAATTCTATGATTTGGAGGAAGTTTCCGAATTCTAAGCCCTCAAGGAGAATAGACTCTGAAAGGCATATTCTTGTCTTTGAATCTTATCATGTAATATCCAATTACATAAATTGGCTAAAGACTAAAAATTATTATTAATGTTGAAATTTTACATTGCAAAATTTGAAGACATATTCATTTAATCTTCACAACAGTCCTGAGAGGTTAGCATTATTGTTATACTTATTTTTCAAATGCAAAACTGGGCACAAAGCACTTAATTTTCCAAGTTAGTTATGTTACAAACTTGAATAAGCAGGTAATTTCTGGACCAGTTCCCTTAATCATAGCACTATACGTCTTCTTTTATAATATGCTGCATCTGTCATCCTAAAATGAATACTTTGCCTACCTATATGTTGCTGATATCAAAATATCCTAATAGAGTAGTTCATTTTAGCAAATATTATTGACTCAATATTAAGTCTGGATTATACATTATACCAAACAATCATAAAAAATATATATGAAGTAGTAGGTTACTGGTTTTGTAAATTCTCTTAAAGTATCAATAGCTTAATTAACTCGGGGAAACAAGTACACATCTGAATACACAAACCCAGATATAAAATAAATAATATTGTTCATTATAATTAAACCTATTTAAATCTGTGTCTAAGTTTCTCTGATTTCAGTTCATTCTGTCCCTATGGTGTGTCTCTCTTCCAGGGCTGTCAGAGGCCCAGTCTGACACAGTACCAGACTGATGGGGATTGGGGTGAGTTAGTCCCTTAGTCAACACTTAATGGAATCTCCAAATATCCATTTCTGCAGTTTTATGGATCTTGTTTGTCTGGTGGCTCTGCTGTTTCTATGCTCCTTGTGTTGAGTATGGGAGTTATGGGCAGAGCTGGAAACATGATTCTGTATGTATTTAAGATCTTCTCATGTTTTTAGGATTAAAATGAGGCAAGCTTACCCTCATAATAGACTTATGATAACAGACCTTGAATTTCTCCCCAGTTTAACCAAAACATCTCCTTTCTGCTAGATCTCAAAGAAATTCCTCCAACTCTTCAAGAACAGTTGACATACACTCTTTAGCAGGAAGGCAGGCAGGAAAAAATATATCTACACAAATCAGTATTTCAGTGGATTACCTAGCCTTCAATTTATTATTGAATTAATGAGTCACAAATTGAACTTGCCCTGACCAATATTTTCTTAGTCTACATAAATGGTTCTCAAAGGGTAATTTCTGGATCAGAGGCATCAGCATCACCTGAGAACTTGAAATGCAAATTCTTGAGCTATATTCAAGATGTAGAATCAGAAATCTTGGAAAGAGCCCAGAAATCTACATAAATATTTTTTTAAAATAATTGACTGATTGATCGATTGACTGATTTGAAAGAGTAAGAGAGAGAGGGAGAGACAGAGAAAGAAAGGTCTTCCATCCACTGGTTCATTCCCCAGATGGCCACAAAGTCCAAGCCTGGGCCAGGCCAAAGCCAGGAGCATGAGCTTCTTCTGGGTCTCTCACATGGGTAGTAGGGGCCCAGACACCTGGGAAATCTACTGCTGCTTTTCCCAGACCATTGGCAGGGAGCTGGACCAGAAGTGGAGTATCTGGAACACAAACTAGTACTCATATGGGATACTGATGTTGTAGGCAGTGGCTTTACCCACTAAGCTACAACACCGGCCCCAGAAATGTTTTCAAAAGTCTTTTAAAGGTGGGACAAGCATGTAGCATAGCACTTAGGTTACTGCTTGGAACATCTGCATCCCATATTGAAATGCACAGTGTGAGTCCTAGCTACACCGCTTCTAATCTGGCTCTTGGCTTTGCTTCCTGATTGAATATCCAGACTGGTATAGCTACAAATCTGCTTGCTTTGGAAGAATGTTCATGGTAGTCCACAAGTCTTAGGGAGAGTTATACTGAGTACAACAGAGACAGACTCATTTAGAATACAGGCAAAAATATATTGTGCTAGAGTTCACATGGTGGCCGGCGCCACGGCTCACTAGACTAATCCTCTGACTGCGGCGCCAGCATCCCGGGTTCTAGTCCTGGTTGGGGCGCTGGATTCTGTCCCAGTTGCTCCTCTTCCAGTCCAACTCTCTGGTGTGGCCCGGGAAGGCAGTGGAGGATGGCCCAAGTGCTTGGGCCCTGCATCCGCATGGGAGACCAGGAGGAAGCACCTCGCTTCTGGCTTCGCATCGGCGCAGCATGCCGGCCATAGCAGCCATTTGGGGGGTGAACCAACGGAAGGAAGATCTTTCTCTCTGTCTCTCTCTCTCTCACTGTCTAACTGCCTGTCAAAAAAAAAAAAAAAAAAAAGAGTTCACATGGTAAGTGAGTTTTTACAGTGTATAATGGAGTTTGGAACGTATGGCAGGAAGGGAAAACACTCTAGGGTAGACTAGAAAACAGCTTTTGTCCAGGGCTAAGAGAACAGTATTTGAGCAGTGACAGTGACATGTTGGCCCTAATCATTAAAGTCTTAGAATTATAGCTATGAACTCCATGTAATCTCTTCTCTTTGTATTAGTGCCATATCAATAGGAGAATTGAAAGAAAATTGTGTTGTAGTAATTGTCATGCAATTGCTATGACCCTAATATAATGTAATAATAGATTCTTTTTTAAGAAAATAAAAGCACGCCCATAAAATGAAAATGGACTCTGTCAATAATCTATTTATACTATAACTGTATTTATAACTGTTTTATTTGTACTTTGGTATTTTTCCAAAAGGTTTCTAAAATGAATATGCATTGCTCTTATAATCTGAAAACAAATTGTGTTCATTTTGAATAGCACTAAGATTTCCAGGCAATCAACTTACATACCAACTTCTAAAAGATAAATAGCTATTTACCTTCTTTATTGTGTCATAAGCTGACATTCTAAAATCATTCTAATTAGATAATTAAAGAAAAAAAGTACTCCAAACTGTTGTATCATGACCTAATATAATGCCAGAAATTGATTATTTTTTCTTCATTTGGAAGAAAAAAGTCATGAAATAGCAACTCGGCAGAGAGAAGGTTGAAGTAGAAGCCACTTTCTATATCATTTTTAATATAAAAGGTGATATATAAATGGTTGAAGTGATGAGATCATTCTTAAACAGGTACATACTGAAAAGAGATACTTTTTATAGCTTCCTTGGAAGCAAATCAAAGCTTGTTGCTTGAGAATAATTATTTAGTTCACTGTTTAACATAATGCATTCCTTGGTCCTCATGCTAATTGAAGAAAGTCAAGGGTCAGTATCTCAAAATAGAAACTAGAGAAAAACGACAATTTTTTTTCTGAACCAATGCAACATAGTGACAGATTCTGAGTAAACTGTACAGAGATTTATTATATTTGTAATATATATGTAATATTATCACAATTTTTTTCCAAAAGGTCTGAAACAAATATCTAAGATTATTCTTACAGATCAACTGTAAGAAAAAGAGAGATGAATAGAGAGAATATCAGTAGATTGAAAAAAAGGTTGACACAGTGCATTTTTGAAGTCTGTTCAAAATATAACTACAGGGGCTGGTGCCGTGGCTCACTTGGTTAATCCTCTGACTGCGGCACCAGCATCCTATGTGGGTGCTGGGTTCTAGTCCTGGCTGCTCCTCTTCCAGTCCAGCTCTCTGCTGTGGCTCGGGAGTGCAGTGGAGGATGGCCCAAGAGCTTGGGCCCCTGCACCCGCATGGCAGACCAGGAAGAAGGTCCTGGCTCCTGGCTTCAGATCGGCACAGCGCCGATCGTAGCGACCAGTTGGGGAGTGAACCAACAGAAGGAAGACCTTTCTCTCTTTCTCTCTCTCTCTTTCTCTCTCTCTCTCTCTCTCACTGTCTAACTCTGTCAAACAAAAATATATATATAACTACAGTGACTAGGAAAACATTTTTTATAGAAATTCAAAAGGTGATTTTTATAAAAGTTAAGATCTAGGCAGGCACTGTGGCACAGAAAGTGAAGCTGCCACTTGGGATGCCCATATTCCCTGTCCAGAGTGCTGGTTCAAGTCCCAGTTATGCCACTTCCAATCCAGTGGCTGGTACATACAGAGAAACGACAAATGATGGTTCAAATGTTTATGCCCCTGCCACCCATGTGGGAGAACTACTTGGTGTTCCAGGACCCTGGGTTTGGCCTGGCCTATCCTCACCTCTTGCAGGCATTTGGGAAGTGAAGCAGTGGAAGAAGGATATTCTCTCCTCTCTCCATCTCTCCCTCTCTGGCTCTCTGCCTTTCAAGTAGATGAAATAAGTAAAATAAAAATTTAAAAATAAATAATTAAATAAAATTCAAGATAGTAGTTACTTTCAAAAGGATCAAAGTATTGCAATTGAGCAGGTAACATAGGCAGATTATCTGGGCTAAAAAAATACTACTTCTTTACCTAAGTGGTGATGTCCCAGATATTTGCCTTATGATAATTTATTAAGCCTTAAAAATTAAATTAAATCATTATTTAAGTTAGTGCATATATATCCACATGTATTCAGTATTAAATCTGTATTAAATTGAAATTCCAACAGTCGTTCTCAACTGAAAGTTACCCTTCTCTCCAATTCTCCTTCCATGTAAGTTTATAAATTTGGGGTAATGCACAGGGACCAAAATTAGTAATCAAAATTACTGTGTGTGTGCTTTTAGTGGTCACTATAACCTACAGGTGACATTAGTAACATTATAAGAGGCAAGGTCCATAAACAACAGAATAAATGTAACTTATGTGAAATTAACCAATCAATGATGGTCACCTTTAGTGTCATGACACTACATCCTTGTATTTCATAATGCTCATTTCTGCCCCCTTAATAATGGAAACACCATATAGCATACAACCTATCCAGTTGTATATTACTGATTATAAGTACACAATTATAGTAGTATCTGAATTCAAGACTGCTTATCTCTAGGAAATATTTTTAATGCTAGATTTTGGATATTTCAGCAAGTTACTGAAAGGTAATTGTGTAGATCTAGATTTATTTTAAATCTCTTCTTAAAACCACAAAACAAATGAGGAAAAGAGCATGCAAAATATGAGTTTTCCTAAAATCCTGTTAGCAATGAAATAAGCTGTTAGTAAAAGGGGAAAAAAGAATGAAATAAAGAACAGAGGCTGGTATTGTGGCTCAGCAGGTTAAACTACCACCAGTGATGCCAGCATCCCTTATTGGAGTGCCAGTTTGAGTCACAGCTGCTCCGCTTCCACTCTAGCTCACTGGTAATGTGCAGGTAAAGGTAGCAGAAGAGCGCACAAGGGCTTGGGTCCCTGCTACCCACACTGAGCTAGAATTCCAGGCTCCTGTCTTTAGCCTGGTCCATCCCCAGCTATTTCTCAAATTTGGGGAGTGAACCAGTGGATGGAAGATCCTTCTCTCTCTCTGCCCCTCCCTCTCTCTGTTACTCTGCCTTTTGAATGAGTAAAATAAATCTTTAAAAAGAGAGAAAGAATGAAAGAAAAGAGGGAGGGAAAAGAGAGAGAGAGAGGGGAGGAAGAAGGAAGGTAGGAAAGAAGGCAGGCAGGCAAGCAGGCAGGAATGAATCATCGTCTCCAATGCTGATCAATAGACAATCTTGAAAATGTTTAATTTGATCCCCAGGAAGTTGAAATTATGTGCAAGTTTCTGAGAAATTTTCTTCATATGGTCATAAAAGCAAATTCTCGCCGGCACCACAGCTCACTTGGCTAATCCTCCACCTGCAGCACCGGCACCCTAGGTTCTAGTCCTGATTGGGGCACCGGATTCTGTCCCAGTTGCTCCTCTTCCAGTCCAGTTCTCTGCTGTAGCCCAGGAAGGCAGTGGAGGATGGCCCAAGTGCTTGGGCCCTGCACCCGCATGGGAGACCAGGAAGAAGCACCTGGCTCCTGGCTTCGGATCGGCGCAGCGCACCGGCTGTAGCGGCCATTTGGGGAGTGAACCAACGGAAAAGGAAGACCTTTCTCTCTGTCTCTCTCTCTCACTGTCTAACTGCCTGTCAAAAAAAAGAGCAAATTTTCATTTCTAATTAATAATTGTGAAATACCATGGTATTACTGGATTTTGAAAATAGTTTAGAAAAACTTTAGACAATCAAAGTTTTCACTAACCCTTCAGAATATACACTGGCCCTCTCCAAAGTTCTACTTGCATGCCCAAGCATGAAATGTACAGATTGGGACTGGCATTGTGGTGTAGTGGGTAAAAGCCACCACCTGCAATGCCAGCATCCTGTATGTTCATAACCTGGCAGTTTCAGGTCCTGTCCAGCTCCCTGCTAATGGCATGGGAAGGAGCAGAAAATGGATCAAGTGTTGGGACCTGCTACCCATGTGGAAGAACTTACTCCTGGCTCCTGAGTTTGGCCTGGCCCAGCCCTGGCCATTGTGGCTATCTGGAAAGTGAACCAGCAGATGGAGAATTTCTCTGTATCTCCCACTGCCTTGGTAATTCCGACTTTCAAATAAATAAATAGAACTTGAGAAGGAGGGAGGGAGGGAGGAAGGGAGGAAAGAAGGGAGGGAGGGAGAGTGAGAGAGAGAAGGAAGAAGAAGGAAGAGGAAGAGGAGGAGGAGGAGGAAAGAAAGAAGGAATGAAAGAAAGAAGGAAATAAAGAAGGAAAGAAAGAAGGAAAGAAATGTACACACATGTGCAAGTATGCCACATTAGCTAAATGTATCTGCAAAGAGAAAGAGGTGATACCTGGAAAGCAGAAATATACAATGAGTCCATCAGGTAGAGGAGCACCATATAATTTACTTCTCATCAATTATTTTACCAGATTTGCTTACCACCCAGAAACATGCAGGCAGTAAAACAGATCACATCATCAGATTCTTTGCTAAAGACTGTTCTTTAAGCTTCCAAGCCTTTTGGCTAAAATCAAGTGAAGACCGTTCATTAACTGTTTCTTATCATGGGGTATTAAATCCCTACTACTGCTGTAATGAATTACCAGAAATTTAATGGTTTGAAATAACACTACTGTGTGATCTTACATTCTGGTACAGGGGTCCTAAAGTAAAGGTATCATTGGCCTGCCTTCTATTTGCAGGTTCTAGAAAAAAATCCATTTCCCTGACTTTTCAGCTTCCAGATACACCTGCATCCTTTGGCTCATGGAGTCTTCCTCCTTTCTTGAACCAATATGATCCATTCAAATCAATCAATCAGTCTCTCTCTTCCTCCCTTCCCTTCCTTCCCCTCACTCCCTACCCCCAGACAAGTCCCTCCCTCCCTCTCCTTTTCTCTCTCCCTTTGCTTCTATGATCACATCTCCTCTGTGATTTTGACCTATTTGCTTCCTCCATAAGGATCCTTTCAATTCTATTGGGCCCACTAATCCAGGATAGTATTCCCATCTCAAGATACTTAATCATGTCAGGAAAGTCCCTTTGCACTGTAAAATAACACATCCATAGATCCCAAAGACTACAAAGTAGATATTTTCCTTTTATAAGTTTTTAAAATATGTTGAGATAACATATTTTAATTTACATTATAATCAAAGGCTTAATGCTCCATTAAGTAAAAAGCTCAACAAACAAAAAGACCATAGTGGAGCCTGAAAATACTGATAGAATTAAAAAGGGAGAGAACAATCCAACATGGGAAGTGGGATATACAGTAGATTCATAGAAGGGCAGATGTCCTAAACAGCATGCTGGCCTCAGAATCAGCCCTTAAGGCATTTGGATCTGGCTGAAGAGCCCATGAGAGTATTATAGTCAGGGAAAAAAACCACAACCACCTAAATCCTTAAATGAAAGATCTCTGCGAGTGAGATCCCAGTGGAAAGAATGGGGCCATCAAAGAAGGAGGTACCTTTCTCTGAAGGGAGGAGAGAACTTCCACTTTGACTATGACCTTGTCTAAATAAGATCGGAGTCAGTGAACTCAAAAGGCTTCCATAGCCTTGGCAAGAGCCTAGGGAGATTACTGATGCCATAAACAAGAGTGCCAATTTGTTAAGTCAACAACAGGAGTCACTGTGCACTTAGTCCTTATGTAGGATCTCTGTCCTTAATGTGTTGTTCAATGTGAATTAATGCTATAACTAGTACTCAAACAGCATTTTACACTTTATGTTTCTGTGTGGGTGCAAACTGATGAAATCTTTACTTAATATATACTAAACTGATCTTCTGTATATAAAGAAAATTGAAAATGAATCCTGATCTGAATGGAATGGGAGAGGGAGCGGGAGATGGGAGGGTTGTGGGTGGGAGGGAAGTTATGGGGGGGAAAAGCCATTGTGATCCATAAGCTGTACTTTGGAAATTTATATTTATTAAATAAAAGTGAAAAAAGAGAAAAAAAGAGAATTAAAAAAATAAGTAAGAAAAGAAAATAAAAAAGGGTTCATAAATGAGGATCAAATGAAAGTATGTTCAACTACACTCATACTAAGTTTTAAAATAGTCACAAAGTCATTAGAACTATAGCAGTATTTAATTCTTAACAACTTGCCGAACATTTAAAACAAAGTTTGGCAAAACACTGTATTTGCAGCAAAATTGATGCACACAGGAATTTATTGCTTTTTTAAAAAAAATTTTAGCTCCTACATATAAGCGAAACCATGCAGTATTTGTGTTTCTATGTCTGATATTTTCCATATCCAACCATTTTGATGAAAATGATAGAATTTCAACCTTTTTAATAACTGAATAATACTCCATGGTATACCACATTTTCTTTATCCATTCATCTGATGATGCAAACTTTAATTGATTCTATCTTTTAGCTACTACAAACAGTGATCCTATAAACATGGTGGTGCAGGTATCTCTGAAACAATATGTTCATGTCTTTTGGGTACATACTCAGTAGTTGCTGAATCATATAACAGTATTTATCCAGTTTTTAATCTCCATACTGCTTTCAACAGTTGTTGCACTAAGTTACATTCCCACCAACAACATATAAGAGTTTTACTTTCTCCAAATCCTTGCCAGCATTTGTTGCTCTCTGTATTTTGGATAATAGCCATTCTGACAGAGGTCATGTGATACTTCATTGTGATATTGAATTGTGTTTCCCTGATGGACAGTGATATTGAGCATTGTTTAAAACATTATTGTCCATTCTTATTTATCCTTTTGAGAACTGTCTATTGAGGTCCATTGCCCATTTCTTTTTTTTAAGACATTTATTTTTTGAAAGGCAGAGTTACAGAAAGACACACACACACACACACAGAGAGAGAGAGAGAGAGAGAGAGAGAGAGGTCTTCTATCTGCTGATTCACTTCCCACACAACCACAATGGTCGGAGCTGGGCCAATCTGAAGCCAGGAGCCAGGATTTTCCTCCGGGTTTCCCACATGAGTGCAGGAGCCCAAGCATTTAGTCCATCTTCCACTTCTTTCCTAGGTGTATTAGCAGGGAGCTGGATTGGAAGAGGAGCAGCCAGGACTCGAACTGGTGCCCATATGGAATGCCAGTGTCACAGATGGTGGCTTTACCCACTATGTCACAGCACCAGCCCCCATTGCCCATTTCTTAACTGGATTGGTTGTTTTTCTGTTGAGTTTTTTGAGTTGCTGATATATTATGGATATTAATCCTTTGTCAGATAGCTTGTAAATATTGCTTTCCATTCTGTTGAATGTGTCTTCACTTAATCATTCCCTCTGCTGCGCAAAAGCTTCTGAGTTTAATATGATCCCATTTGTTTAGTTTTGCTTTTGTTGCCTATGTTTTGAGGGGTCTTATCCAAGAAGTCATTACTTACACCCATGTCTTGAATTGTTTTCCCTACATTTTTTTCTAGCATTTTCATTGTCTCCAGTCTTAAATTTGAATTATCGATTCATCTTGAGTTGAATTTTTCTGTGGTGAGAAATAGGGACCTGATTTCATGATTTCATGTTCCACATATATACATCCCGTTTTTCCAGCAGCACTCATTAAAGAGATTGTCCTTTCTCCAGTGTATGCTCTGGACACTTTTGCCAAAAATCAGTTGGCTCTATGTAGGTGGATTAATTTCTGGGCTCTATATTCTGCTCTATTGATCTATGTGTCAATTCTTGTGCCAGTACCATCCAATTCTAATTACTATAACTCTGTGGTATGCTTTGAAAACAGGTATTGTGATGCTTTGATGATGTCTTGATATTTTAGTTTTTCTCTTTCTTTTTTTTATTTTTTATTTATTTTTTAATTTTTTGACAGAAAGAGTAGATAGTGAGAGAGAGAGACAGTGAGAAAGGTCTTCCTTTGCCGTTGGTTCACCCTCCAATGGCCGCCATGGCTGGCATTCTGCACCCGGTGCACTGCGCTGATCCGAAGGCAGGAGCCAGGTACTTATCCTGGTCTCCCATGGGGTGCAGGGCCCAAGCACTTGGGCCTTCCTCCACTGCACTCCCGGGCCACAGCAGAGAGCTGGTCTGGAAGAGGGGCAATTGGGAAAGAATCCGGCACCCCGACCGGGACTAGAACCCGGTGTGCTGGTGCCGCTAGGTGGAGGATTAGCCTATTGAGTCACGGCACCAGCCAGTTTTTCTATCTTCATCTTTTTTCCCCCTCAGGATCACCTTGGCTATTCTGGGTTTCTTGTGATTCCATATGAACTTTAGGATTTTTTTTTAGATCATACGTTATAATCAAGTAGAATATTTCAGATATGAAAGAGTGGTTCAACATTCACAAATCAATAAACAGCATAAATTACATCAACAGAATACAGAACAAAATTATATGATCATCTAAATAGATATGGAGAGCACACTTGATCATATTCAACACCCCTTCATGATAATAACCCATAACAAATAAGGCATGGAAACAAAATCCTATATCACAATCAATGGAGAAAAGCTAAAAGCATTTTCCCTTCAGATCTGGAAAAGGGCAAAGATGTCCAGTTTCACCACTCTTAATATAGTACTAGAAATATTAGCAACTGCAATTAGGGAGGAGAAACAAATTACGGGTAACAAAATTGGAAAGTCAAAATATCCAGGTTTGCTTTGCAGATGACATGATGCTGTACGTGGAAAAACCTAAACAGTGCCGGCGCTGTGGCTCACTAGGCTAATCCTCCGACTGTGGCGCCGGCATCCCGGGTTCTAGTCCCGGTTGGGGCGCCAGTCCTGTCCCGGTTGCTCCTCTTCCATTCCAGCTCTCTGCTGGGCCCTGGGAAGGCAGTGGAGGATGGCCCAAGTGCTTGGACCCTGCACCCACATGGGAAACCAGGAGGAGGAACCTGGCTCCTGGCTTTGGATTGGCGCAGAGTGCCGGCTGTGGCAGCCATTTGGGGGGTGAACCAACAGAAGGAAGACCTCTCTCTCTGTGGGGAGCAATCCGGACTGGACTAAGTTACTGAAATTAAGACTTATTCTGTGCATCTGCTCTCCCACAGCATGGCGTTGGGAGAGAAGTAAACAGCTTCCGCACAGCTGCCTCCAGTTCAACTAATAAACTGTAGGACTTGCTCCTGATTGGAGAGCAGCGTACTCGGCGTGTGGGCAGCCGAGTTGGGATTGGCGGAGGAGGACTATAAAGGAGGAGAGAGACGGCATGCACCAGGAACATCTATGGGGAACATCTAAGGGAACCCGTGCAGCCCCCGAGAGAGCCGGTCGGCGGTGTGCCGCTCCCCTGCGGAAGTGGGGAATGCGGCCAGGGGGAACTGCCCTTCCACGGAGGTGGAAGGGATAGTAGCCAACCCGGGAAGAACCAGCAGCAAACCCGGGGAGGGCCGAGCAGACAGAAAGAACAGCACAGGGTTCAGTGTTGCTCCTCCACGAAGAGGGGGAGCGACATCTCTCTGTCTCTCTCTCTCACTGTGTAACTCTACCTGTCAAAAAAAAAGAACTGATAAACATGTCTTTCAAGATGGCAGAAAAGGGAGGGCGCTTTAGCTCTGGGCTAGGGGAAGATAGTCAAAAAAAAAAAGAAAATAGTGGAAAAAGTACAATCTCAGGGAAGACTTAGAGAGAAAACTGCAGCAGAAACTCCACAGAAGGAAGCAGGATACTGTGGCTCTATGTGGAGGGTGTGGATGCACAGCATGAGCATGGACATCACACAGTACACCACACAGGACACCAGCAGCCAAGAGCCTCAGCAATAGCTTTGGAGAATAAGGTGAGATCAGACTACAGCAGCCCAAGCCACTGGCAATACAGCTGTTGGGAGAGCCTAGCATTTGTCCAGCCTGGAGCCCTGTGGGGGACAGGGAACCTGCTAATCCAGAGAGAAAAAAGGGGCATGTTTCTCTTTCCCTATTCCCCAAAGAGTGGTACCCTGCAAATGGCTGAGAGAGGGTGAGCACCATTTTTGATATATGCGATAGCTGTGGTGGAATGAGAAGGCCACGCCAAGATTGCTGCTGGCAAGCCAGCCTCAGCTACTCAGGAATGGCTTCGGAAACCACCTGGCAATGGAGCCTGCCTGGCAACAGGCTGTGACTGGTTAGGTTATAAACTTCCCCTTGACTGGATTGGCTGCCTTGGCTATATAAGCTGCTGTACCAAATGAAATAAACGAGTCTGCGAGCTGCTCACCTCTGGCCCACTTTCACCCGACTCCCGGGGTCTGTGTGGTGACTCCATGCCTCTTGCCCCCATCATGCTGCTCCTCTCAGAATGAATCCACAGCAACATGCCAGATTGTGTCCACGTGCCCAGCATCAGCTGAGAGGACACACCTGAGTCTGGCTGGGAGGACTGACAGGGGGCTGGGCACCCACGTAAGATGTGAGTGCCTCCAACCTCCAAAAAATTACAGGCTTTGGGGCTGTAATTGCCTACGCAGAGCTCCTACATGTTGCTGGCCATAGGAACATCCCCACCTCTCTGTGGACAAAATGGACTGGCAAGGTGGAGTGGATCTTTGGCATCTATGTGGAAGGTTTGTGTGCTGAGACTGTAGAAATGGCAGAAGAGCACAGGGTACGGCTGGTTTTTTGGGCAGTCACTGTGGAGGGTTCTTCAGGCTCAGGGCTCCCCGATTGCCTAAGATGGGTCATTGCAGTGGGATCCATGCTCAAACTGAGGACTGCATGGAACCTTTGTGTGGTTCTTGTGGCAGCACATATGAATAATGCTGCCATGGGGGCTGGGGTACTGATCACCTGGGAAGAAATGCAGTGAGAGTGAGATTATAACAGAGCTGATCAAACCCTCCCTTCTGATAAAAAATAAAAAAGATACACCATGCCCAACTAGGGTGTCACCATGGATACTCCCCCCACCCTGGAGCACTGAATAGAGCTCCCTGGCCACACCTAGCAAATGCCTCTTGGTATTCACTGAAAGAGCAGATACTCCACTAAGACTGAGGAGGCATACTCCACAGACAAAAGCCAATAGAGAGGGAAAACCCAACAAGTATATCAACAAATGCCCAAAAGTAAATGTAGAAATTCAGGAAAAATGAATAAGGAAGACAATATGACACCCACAAAAGAACACAATAACAGTTCAATACTAAAATGTGAAGATGAAGAGATTAATGAAATGCTTGAAATGGAATTCAAAATATTAATCACAGGATTACTCAGAAGCAATCAGAAGCAAATCCATGAATTAAAGAAATCTATACATGACACAAATTAAAATGTTTCCTGTGAAATTAATATATTTAAAGAGAAATCAAAATGAAATTTTGGAAATGAAGAATTCAATAGATCAAATTAAAAATGTGGTGGAAAGCCTTAACAACAGACTTGGTGAGAGAGAAGAGAGAATATCCAATGTAGGAGACAAATCTCTGGAAATTTTATAGTTAGACCAAAAAAAGATGAAATTTTCTATAAACATTAAAAATAGTGTTAGAGGTTCATAGGATACTATCAAACAACCCAACATATGGGTCATAGGAGTGAGTTACCCAACATATGGGTCGTGGAAAAATAAAATGCATTAGAAGGTCTTTTTAGTAAAATAATTACAGAAAACTTCCCTAATTTGGAGAAACAGACATTGAAATATAGGAAGCACATAGAACTTAAAATAGACACGACCAGAAAAGATCTTCACCGTGACACAATGTAGTCAAACTATTCACAGTAAACATAAAGAAAAGATTCTAAAATATGCATGAGAAAAACATCAAGATTACTTTCAGAGGATCTTCAATTAGACTCATAATGGACTTCTCATTAGAAACCCTACAGGCTAGAAGAGAACAGCAAGATATATTCCAAGTCTTAAGGGGGAAAAAAACTGTCAACCCAGAATATTGTACCCTACAAAGCTCTCATTTATTAATAAAGGTGAAATAAATATCTACCACAACAAACAAAAATTGAAGGAATTTGTCTTCACTCATCCAGCCTTACAAAAGTTGCTTAGGGATGTGCTACACACAGAAACACAGTTATCACTATGAAAGAATGTAAAGGCAGAAAATCTCCCAGTAAAGTACAAAGGAAATCCAAAGTAAACAATAGGAATATTTATGGAAAAACAGCAGGGGCAACTCCTTAATTATCAACAGTAACCTTGAATGAAAATGGCCTCAACTCCCCAGTCAAATGATACAGATGGGCTGAATGGATTGAAAAACAAGACCCATTTATTTGATTCCTACAAGAAACACATCTCACCAACAAAGGTACACACAGGCTTACAATAAAAATATGGAAAAACATATTCCATGATAATGGACATCAAAAAAGAGCTGGTATAAACATCCTAACGTCTGATAGTCAAAATATACTCTTACACAAAAACTGTTAAAAGCAACAAATAAGTGCACTATGTAATGTGAAAGGGATCACTGCAACAGGAAGATGTAACTATAATAAACATATGCACCCAGTTACATGGCACATGGCTTTAAAAGAAATGATAATGGAACTAAAGGGAGATACAGACAAATACAATATTAATGGAGGACTTCAACACCCTACTTTCAGCAGAATCAGCAAAAAAACAACAGAGTTAATTAGGCCTAACTAGTAGCTACAGAATTTTTCATCGCACAGTTGCAGAATACACATTCTTCTCATCAGTGCATGGAACTTTCTCTAGGATAGACCACATGCTAGACAATAAAACATGTTTCAGCAAGTTCAAAAAAAATCAAAATCATATCATGCATATTCTTTGACTACAATGGAATGAAGCTGGAAATCAGCAACTCAAGAATCTCTAGAACATATGCAAGCACATGAAGACTGAACAACACTCTCCTGAATAAAAAGTCAGTCATGGCAGAAATCAAAAAATAAATTATAACATTTCTATAAACTAATAAAAGTGACAATACAACATATCAAAATTTATGGGATACATCAAAAGAAGTGTTAAGAGAGAAGTTTATAGCAATTGATGCCTATATCAAGAAATTGGAAAGGCATCAAATAAATGAGGTATAAATGCATCTCAAGAACCTAGAAAAACAACAACAAATCAAACCCAAATTATTAGGAGGAAAGAAATAATTAAAGCTAGAGTGGAAATAAACAAAATTGAAATCAAAATAAACAATACAAAAGATCAGTGAAATGAAGAGCTGGTTTTTTAAAAAAATAAACAAAATTGATACACCACTGCTCAACTAACCAAAAAAAAAAAGAGGGAGAAGATCCAAATCAATATAATCAGAGATAAAAAAGGAAATGTAACAACAGATACCACAGAAATAAAAATCATCATCAGGAATTACTACAACGAGCTGTATGTTAACAAATTGGGAAACTTTTGAAGAAATGGATAGATTCCTGGGCACATGCAACCCACAAACCTTGAGCCAGGAAAACAAAGAAAACTTAAAGAGACCAATAACCAAGACGGAGTTTGAATCATCAACACAGACTCTCACAACAAAGAAAAGTCTAGGCTTCACTGCTGAATTCTACCAGATATTTAAAGAAGAATGAATTCCAATTCTTCTCAAGCTATTCAAAACAACTGAAAGAGAGGCAATCCTCCCAAACTCTTTCTATAAATCCAGCATCGTCTTAATTCTAGACCAGAAGAAGATACAACAAAGAGAATGATAAACCAATTCCCCTGATGAACATAGGTGCAAAAATACTCAACAACATATTAGCCAATCAAATCCAACAACACATCAGAAAGATCATTCACCCAGACCAAGTGGGATTTATCCCTTGTATGCAGGGATATATTAACATTTGCAAATCAATCAATGTAATACATCACATTGATAAACTAAAGCATCTGAATAGAAGAATGATTATCTGAACAGATGCAGAGAAAGCATTTGATAAAATATAACATCATTTTCATGATGAAAACCTTAAGAAAATTGGGTATAGAAGGAACACTCCTCAACAAAATCAAGGCAATTTATGACAAACCCACAGCCAGCATTCTATTGAACGGGAAGCCTTCCAGCTAAGATCCAGAACCAAACCAGGATTCACCCTCTCAACATTACTATTCAACATAGTCCTGGAAGTTTTAGCTAGAGCCATTCTACAAGAAAAAGAAATCAAAAGGACATAAATTGGAAAGTAAGAATCCAAACCATCCCTAATTTCAGATAACAGATTCTATGTTTAGGGGATCCAAAAGACTCCACTGAGAGAACACTGGAACTCATAAAAGATTTTGGTAAAATGGCAGGATATAAAATTAACACACATGGCCGGCACCACGGCTCACTAGGCTAATCCTCCGCCTGTGGCACCGGCATACCAGGTTCTAGTCCCGGTTGGGGCGCCAGATTCTGTCCCGGTTGCTCCTCTTCCAGTCCAGCTCTCTGCTCTGCCCCAGGAGAGCAGTGGAGGATGGCCCAAGTCCTTGGGCCCTGCACCCGCATGGGAAACCAGCAGGAAGCACCTGGCTCCTGGCTTCGGATCAGCATGGTGTGCCAGCCACAGCGGCCATTGTGGGGTGAACCAACGGAAGGAAGACCTTTCTCTGTCTCTAGCTCTCACTGTCCACTCTCCCTGTCAAAAAAATAAATAAATAAAATTAACACAAAAAAATAAATAGCTTTCATATACACAGACAATGCCATGGCTGAGAAAAACTTCAAAGAATGCTATAACTAGTACTCAAACAGTATTTTTCAGTTTATGTTTCTGTGTGGGAGCAAACTTTTGAAATCTTTACTCAGGCTGGCGCCGCGGCTCACTAGGCTAATCCTCCGCCTTGCAGCGCCGGCACACCAGGTTCTAGTCCCTGTCGGGGCGCCGGATTCTGTCCCGGTTGCCCCTCTTCCAGGCCAGCTCTCTGCTGTGGCCTGGGAGTGCAGTGGAGGATGGCCCAAGTACTTGGGCCCTGCACCCCATGGGAGACCAGGATAAGCACCTGGCTCCTGCCATCGGATCAGCGCGGTGCACTGGCCGCAGCGTGCAGGCCGCGGCGGCCATTGGAGGGTGAACCAACGGCAAAGGAAGACCTTTCTCTCTGTCTCTCTCTCTCACTATCCACTCCACCTGTCAAAAAAAAAAAATCTTTACTTAATGTATGCTAAACTGATCTTCCGTATATAAAGAGAATCGAAAATGAATCTTGATGTGAATGGAAGGGGAGAGGGAGTGGGAAAGGGGAGGGTTGCGGGTGGGAGGGACATTATGGGGGGCAAGCCATTGTAATCCATAAGCTGTACTTTTGAAATTTATATTCATTAAATAAAACCTAAAAAAAAAAAAGAACTTCAAAGATCAATCCCATTGACAATAACTACAAAAACAAGTAAATACCTTGGAATAAATTTAATCAAGGATGTCAAAGATCTCTACAATGATAAAAACATTAAAGAAAGAAATAGAAGAAGACACAGAAAAAATGGAAAATCTTCCATGTTCATGGATTGGAAGAATCAATATCATCAAAATGTCCACACTACCAAAAGCAATCTACAGATTCAATGCAATTCTAATCAAAATACCCATGATATTCTTCTCAGATCTAGAAAAAAACTATGCTAAAATTCATATGGAAATGCAGGAGAGCCTGAATAGCTAAAGCAATGTTACACAACAAAAACAAAGCCAGAGGCATCATAAACCTAGATTTCATGACAAACTGGCCAGCACCGCGGCTCAATAGGCTAATCCTCCACCTAGCGGTGCGGGCACACCAGGTTCTAGTCCCAGTCGGGGCGCTGGATTCTTTCCCGGTTGCCCCTCTTCCAGGCCAGCTCTCTGCTGTGGCCCAGGAGTGCAGTGGAGGATGGCCCAAGTGCTTGGGCCCTGCACCCCATGGGAGACCAGGAGAAGCACCTGGCTCCTGCCTTCGGATCAGCGCGGTGCGCTGGCCACAGCGTGCCAGCCATGGCGGCCATTGGAGGGTGAACCAATGGCAAAGGAAGACCTTTCTCTCTGTCTCTCTCTCTCTCACTATCCACTCTGCCTGTCAAAAAAAAAAAAAAAAAAAAGACATACTACATGGCAGTTGTAGACAAAACCACCTGGTACTGGCACAAAAATAGACATCTAGACTAACGGAACAGAATATAAATCCAGAAATCAATCCATGGACACTGAGAGACGATGATTTTGGACTTCTCTTCTGTTGACTATTGAGGAAGAGTTTTTTTTTTTCTTTCTCATATTATTTGTTGAACTCTTTATTTACTGTAGGGTTAATCTTATGTGTATAAAGTTAATTGAAATATATTTATTATATATTTATATATTTATGTATATATATGTATATTTATATATTTATGTATATAAAGTTAATTGAAATATATATTTGTAAAAATAAAAAATGGGAATAGGAGAGGCAGGAAAAAGAAGGGTGGGAATGTGGGAGGGAGGAAGTGTGGGGAGAATCACTATGTTCCTAAATTTGTATGTATGAAATTCATGAAGTTTGTATATCTTAAATAAAATGTTCCTAGATAAAAAAAAATAAAAATAAAAATGAAAACCTGATAAACCAATTCAGTAAATGCACAGGTTAAAAAATCAACATACAAAAAAAAAGTAGCCTTTTCATATGCCAATAAGGAACTTGCTAAAAAACAAGAAAGAAAGCCCATTCACAATAGCCACAGGAAACACAAATATTTAGGAATAAATTTAACCAAAGAAATTGAGGATTATCCTATAAGAGCACCAGTTCAAGTCCCAGCTTTCCCACTTCCAATCCAGCTCCTACTAAGAGAAGGAGCAGAGGTTGGCCCAAGGTTTGAGCCTCTGCCACCCACGTGGGAGACGCATATGGAGTACATGGCTCTTGGCTTTCGCTTGGCCCAGGCCTGTACATTTTATCCTTTCAGGGAGTGAACAAGCTGACGGAAGACTGATCTGTATGTCTGTGTGTGTGTGCATGCCAACAGTGGTAGAGAGCTACTGAGTAGAGGCTGTGTTTGTATTAGTTGATCATGGCTGATCATGGCTAATCATGGACAAAACACAGTAGCCAAGCCAAATTTTCCTTTCTTTTCTTTCCCATTCCACTCTGGGGAGGGTTGGGTACCCAAGATCAAAGCACTCTTACTTCTTTTACTCAGCCACTTTTGCAGGATGTTCTGTCATGTCCTCAATTTTCAGATCTTTTAAGCCTTTTGTTCTTCAGGACAAGTTGTCCCCAGGAGAAGTAACTTAATTAAAGCCAGTGCCAGATAACAACTATATAATCCAGATGTATCTGCTGCCTAAAATATGGAAAATAAAGTCTGCTTTTCCTCCTTGTAAGTGCCATCTTTCTCAAAACTTGTGGAATCCCCTTAAAGACTCTTGTACCATATCATATTTGATGATAGGTAGGGCCATTCTCGCACCAGTAGGGCTCTCGAGTACTGAATCCAAGGACAAGCAGCCCGGGGGAAGCCAGTTGCTTCATTCCCAGACAACTCAGGGCTCCTTGTGCAGGGTAGCTCACTTCCACTTAAACCCTTCTCAGACTGATAGAAGTTTTGATGAAAAAAGAAGTCTTTCATATTACCACAGTGTTCTCATAACATATATTTGCTTACTCAAATGGAGACGTGGGCCTTTTCCATGGTGGTTTCAACTCTACAGAGAATGGTCAGCAGCCACTTTCTTTCATTGAGAATATACAAAAATTAATCTCTGGTAGGAATTTGTTTCAATGACAATATACAAGGCTGGCATTGTGGCACAGTAGGTTAAGCCACCACCTGCAATGCCAGAATCCCATATAGGTTCCAGTTCAAATCCCAGCTGCTCCACTTCCAATCCAGCTCCCTGTAATGTGCTTGGGACAGCAGCGGAAAGTGGACCAAGTGCTTGGTCCCTTGCACCCACGTTGGGAGACCTGGAGGAAGCTCCTGTCTCCTGGCTTCAGCCTGGCCCAGGCTCAGCCTTTGAGGCCAATGGGGAATGAACCAGCTTATGGTAGACCTCTCTCTCTCTCTCTCTCTCTGTCCCCCTCCATTTTTCAAATAAGTAAATATTTTTTTGAAAAACTACAATATACATGAAAGGACTCCATAGACTTTAAAGAATGCCTAGGTTTGAATTCTGGTTTTAATGCAGCAGCCTGTTAATTTACACCCAGGGAAGTAGTAGTGATGGCTCAACAACTTGGATTCTTGCCACTCATTCGGAGATTCATATTGAGTTCCAGAATCTGCACTTCAACTTGGCCCAGACTAGCTGTTGTAAGCATCTAGGGAGAGAACCAGCAGATGATATCTGTCTCCCCTTGTCTCCCTGCCTTTCAAATAAATGACAATAAGTAAATATTTCTTTTTTTAAGGGGGGGAGATGATTTTAAAACAAATGATGGTAGGTTTTATCTTTTGTCAGACAATGAGGGATGCAAATCACAAAAATTAGCTTCTCTGTGCATTTGAAACAAGTCTCTGCTTTTATGAGTTTACAATCTAATCAGAAAAATGATATAAACTTCATTAAAGTATTCAAGAACAATCCAAGATGACATTCAACCAGAAGAAATTCAACCAACAGAAATTCAAAGTGGTAAACAAATTCTGTCAAGGTCACAGGCTGGAGGGATCAAAGTAAACTTCATGTAAAAGAATGAGAGCTGCGAATTGGTTTTTAATGAATAAGATCCAGATAAACAGAAGGTAGTTTAAAAACCCGTCTAAGTGCAGAGAGATAGGAAAGTTAAAAATAAACCCAATCTTGGTGAGGTAAATGAGAATTGTCTAAACTAGAGGTGTGTTTAAGGGAAAGGCAGGAAATGGAGTTTGATAAATTTGAAGGTTTCTTCAACACCTTAAAAATCAGCAAAGTATTGGAGATGTGGGAGATACTGGATCTTACTGAAGGCTTCAGAACAGAGGAGAAACCAAAAGGAAACACTGTTTTGGGAAAAGCATAACTGTATGAGATGCAGAAAGGATGATGGGGAGAAAAGTCAGCAGCACCAGCTAGGACAAGATTATTGTTTACCAAGTAAAGAGACTGGGAGAGCATCAGAAGCAGAAAAAAAATCCTGTCAGGGAAGAAGTAGTCATTTTGGGATTTTGTTATTGGTTTTCAAATTGCATTGAAATTTGAGGTGTACATCAGAAATTTTTATTTTTATAAGAATTATTTATTTTGAAAATCAAGAGTTACAGAGAGAGAGGGAGAGACAGAGAAAGAACAAGAAGAATTTCTCTGGTGCCAGCCATGTTTCTCACCCTTCAACAGTTAAGATTTTCACAATTGTGTCATAATGGGTCATAAAGAAAGACATAAAAATTCCATTGTTTCTTGAGGGAAAGAATGAGCAAAAAAATGGTGCTAAAAAGTCTATGATTATTACAGTAACCCTCTGAGTGATAAAAACCAGTTTTCACAGAGAGATGACAGATTTTTCACAGAAACACCCAAGCTCATGGTTTTTATTTCATGCAAGTCATAAATATGTGATTTTATTACTCATGGAGAAGGGAATTGCTGCCTAATGGGACTATTATTTGAGCACTCTTCTTCTGAGTATGGAATCATTAACTCAGTATATTCTGGGACCAGGGTACTTGAGTTAGAAGAAGGCAGGGAGGGAGGGAAGTTGGAATGCACCAACCACAAATTCTACTCAGGTAAACTCAAAGAACACATTTTTCTGTTTTCATCAGAGAATCATTTTAGAAGCGAGAGTGAACTTGACCCAGCTCTCTCATTTTGTCAGTGAGGGAATTCAGGTGCAGGGACTCCCACTTTGGGCTAGTCAGTTTCTTAGAAATCACACAGCAAGGAAATGACACCACCAGGAGGCAAATTTAGGTCTTTTCCATGAGCAGAAGTGACCATTCTTTCCCTTCATCTTAATACACTTTAGAACTTCAGTTAATACTTACCAAAGAGCAAGTGAATTCTAACTCCCCCAGTAGAGTGGACCTTTATATCCTGAAGTTCTGCGTTTCTAGATGCAACCAGTCACAGATCAAAGATATTGAACAAAAACATACATCTGTATTCAACATGTACAGGTTTTTTGGTCATTATTTCCTAAACAACACATTGTAACAATTGTTTGCATAGTGCTTACATAGGATTATATAGTATAAGTCATCTAGAGATGACTTATTGTGTATGTGAAGAACTATGTAGGTTATATGTACATCATATTATATGCATAAGTGACATGAGCATCTTGGAGTTTTGGTACTTGTAGGGGTCCTAAAAACAATTTTATGTGGGTAGTGAGGGATAATTGTTGATTTTCTACTCTATATGGCTCCTGAAATTCTCCGTTCTTTCTTCTTTTTTGTTTTGTAGGTAATTTTTACTTGACCATATTCTTAAAATAGTGGCTAGGGCTTTTAAAGAAATTATATTTTTATTACTTCATCTACTTTAAAAAGTCTTAACTTTGCTGTATTATTAAAATGACAAGAATATAAACTATCATTGATAAAAATATGAAAAAATAAGATATATGAAGTCAACCATTAATAATTTCTAATAAGAACACTTAACTTCTTTCCAATTTTCAAGTATGCAATACTCTATTGCCTGCTTTTTTTTAGGATTTAGTTATTCATTTGAAAGCCAGAGTTACAGAGAAAAGACAGAGAGATGGAGATTCTACATTGACTTGTTCACTCTCCCAAATGGTTGCAATGGTTGGGGCAGGGCCCAAGATGAAGCTAGGAGCAGCAACTCTATCTGGGTGTCCCAACATAAGCAGCAGGGACACAAGCCTTAGGGCCATCTTTCTCTGCTTTCCCAGGCACATTTGCAGGAAGCTGAATTAGAAGTGAGACATCCAGTCTCAAACCAGTGCTCATATATAAAATCCTGGCATCACAGGCTGTGACTTTAACCCACAGTGCCACAAAGCTGGCCCCTGCCTCTTATTTCTTAAAGATAGCATTTTCTCTATCCTACCCCACTCTCTAGGTGCTGCTCTCCTCCTGCCTCCTTCTCTGCATACTTCATGAGAAAAAATAATTCATGCTTATCACAGATATGCCATGTTCTCTCACTCCCCTATGCTACTGTGTAGGTTATACCCAATATCTGGGTTGTCCTCTCTTTTCTCTCCACCTCTATTCACCTGGCTAGCAGAATATATCACATTGAGTTCAGGTATCATTAATAGGAAGAAGCCTTTCATAGCTGCTCTAATCTCCAAGTTGAGATAACGCATTATTAGTTCTCATAGCAACACTGGGTTACTCAGCATTGAAGAAACTCCAGTACAGTCATCTATACTCACCTGAGTTCCACTCTAAACCATAAACCCCATGAGGCCAGGAAACAAATCTTATCTGACACTGAAGCTCCAATGTCAACGGAGTATAACAACTTATTTATAGTAAGGTTTTATAAATGTCTGACACATAAAAGACAGGATGAGTATGTTACTAATTAGTTTAATATAACTGTCTACACCCTCTATGGCTTCTATAAGTGAAAACAAAAACAGAAATAGTTACTGTCTTCTGAGTTTGATTTACATAAATGAAGAAAACAGAAGAGAGAAGGTATATCAAGAGCAAGATTCATAGTCTCCCCTTCCATTAATCTCATATCAATATGGGTTTCCACCTACTTGTGTTCGGTCCTTTCAGTATGCTTTTATTCCCACTTATTTAAAAATCCTTGGAAATTAAAGGAAGGGAAGGTTCAAAGATCCTGCTTCTCCCAAGTGATCTAACAAGATCAAACCAGACACAAATCAGCTACTCCCCTATGATGCCTTTCCTGGCTTGGAGGCTCTGTGCATATCTTAGCAGGCCAGAGAGGCCTAGCTTCTTTCACATACTACTGCATACATCAGCGACACACTCCCCAGTTCCAATTTAGTACATATTTTATTTTGTGAGTTAGATTCTGTTCTCACCTCATTTTAGAAACAGAGAAATTAGAGTTAAGAGGTTAAGTGTCTTTCACCAGGCTTAAAAATGGCTAAGTTAGATTTTAAGGACTGGTGGAGAATTCTTGGCCACTTCATTTAGCTATACTTCCAGGGCTACTGCTTTTTCCTTTGATGCTGTGGCTGGGGAGGGAACTAACCCAGAAGATGAAACCCAAAGCCAAAAGTGATGAGATCTTGATGTTCTAAGTTCTTTCCGGGGCACCATTCTCCTGTGGATGGTGGGTCCCTGACTATCACAATCACTCTTCATATCTAAATGCACTATTATTTAGCCTTTTGTCTACAGCCTTTATTCAAGGGACAAATCAGAAGTGTGGCGGAAAGACGGCAGTTACAAGGATTCCTCACTCTATTTAAAATACAGTAGTTCTGCAACAGGCTCGTTTCTATAAATCTAAAAATTGATGGTTAAAATGGAATTTGCAAGTTACACTGGTTTTTATAAAATATAAATATTTTTAGTTAGTTTTACATACTGGAAATGGAAATGATAACAAAACAGAGTAAGAGGATTTGCATATTAAAGATGTTTTTAAGTCTCCATACAATGACTTCTGGCCAGTCTAAGATTGCCTAATACTGATAAGCAATGACCATTAAGAAATCATTTATAGATTTTTTTGGTGAGTGTTCTGAGATACTAATGGGTTTCAGAATTACTTGGGAATCTTCCTGAGGTCAAGGAAGGAAATAAAGAATGAAGTGATAATAAAATGTATGAAGTGACTAATGGACAGGTTGTATATATATACATAGGTTACAGCAAAAAAGAAAAAAAAAACTAAATTTTTACAGCACAAATTTAAACAAATGGAAATCTCACTTCCATATCTTTTCCTTTTCACTTAAGAGGCAAGAAGGATGATAACACTGCATATAGTCAGCTTCCATAAGAGACTGTCATCTCATGTCCCGTCATCAGGCCATCAGCCCAAACCTCCTTAACAGCCACTCCCACCGTCATATGCCAAAACAAAAGCAGTGGGGAGATGAAACCACATTTTATGGGGCAGCAAAAAAAAAAAAAATGGCTTGTCATATAACACAAACAAATAGCTAACTCAAACACAGTTTCCACATGGCAAAAATATGTTTCATGCTGAAAGCAGCCCATTGAGGGTCAAGTAGTTCTCTTGCCTTTACTACATGTGTAAATCAACATCATCATCATAAATCAAATAAAATTTTGAATGCTAAGAGGGAAACTCAGAGCAGGATTTTATTTTAAGACAAAATATCACTCTTTTTTTCTCTAAAATACAAAAATGTTTTATAGAAAATAAATTTGCTAGAAATAATGTAATGATGTAAATAATGCAAAAAATGGGTAAAATAGAAACAATAGATTAAGGGTGAGTTGTTTTAGAAGAATTTTGCCTTGAGTCATCAGGAAAGTGAAGGACAAAGGTTGAATGGGAAGATGAATTGCTATGAAATAGAAGCAATCCCGGGGACTGATGTTGTGATGTAGTAGGTAAACCTGCAGCCTACAATGTCAGCATTTCATGTGGGTGCCAGTGCAAGTCCTAGCTGCTCTACTTCCAATCCAGCTCCCTGATAATGGCCTCACAAAAGCCATAGAAGATGGCTCAAGTGTTTGGGTTCCCTGTGGCAGACCTGGATGTAGCTCCTGGCTCCTGCTTTCAGCTTTGCCAAGCGCTGGTCATTATGGCCATCTGAAGACTGAACCAAAGGATAGAAGATCCCCCTCTGTCTCTCCCTCTCTCTCTTTAACTCTTCACTTTCAAAATAAATAAATACATCTTAATTAAAAGAAGAAAAATCAAGCCTAATTCTGGCTCTCAGTAAATCAGTCGACATCTAAGGTCTTCAAGCCAACTGACTACATTATTAACTGATTCAATTATAGGCTGACTATTCTGTGATTTGGAGTATACATAAAAGTTTATATGAAGTATACCTAACACAAAACCTAACTATAAAATAGTGTTCCTATATTTAAGGAATGTATGTGTTTGAGATAGAAGGTAACTGGTATTTTCCAAATATAAAATCTATTTTTCAGGACTGTCAGACTACATCCCTATAGTAAAATTAAGCTTGCCTCCAAGTTAACATTGAGTAGAGAGTCTTAAAAATGAGTAGGTTTTCTGCAGAGCAAAACCAGTCAACAAGAATTATTTTGTGTAGTGAGCAACAGGGCAAGCACATTGGGGATATTAAATTATACATATATATATATATTTGATAAAGTATACTCTGCAAACAATTTGATTGCTATACCTTATCTTTTTACTTTAAACTATGATCCTATTCTTAATCTAAAAAATTCACATCTGCAATACATAATTGTGTGTTTTGTTTGGAAAAGCAAATTTAAACAGTCCAAAAGAATTTTGAGTACTGAAAAGGGGGAGTAAAACTACATGTGAACTGGAAAGTAATAGATGAAAACACTTTCAAGGGAATAGTGGAAAGAAATATGTTAGTATTTAACTGTGATCTCATCACATGACCATACAGAATGTTTACCTCATCATATTTTGATTTGTTCTTTATGGTATGAACACAGTTAGGGAAAGTTTTTTTTAAAAAATGAAGAATTGCTAAACTTGGTGTTTTGCTTTCATGTATCACTGCTACCCTTTCACATATGTGGTTTGTGTTGGAGTCAACAGTTTAAAATCTGTGGGCTCTCTCTTCCACGCAATTAGCAAATATGTGAGATAAGCTCTCTGGACCTAGGTTAAACTCACCAGCAACTTCTGACCTGTGAGAAATACATATCCAGATTCTTATCTTTCATCACCATTCACCCTCCAGAGTTTCCATTAACAATAAAGAACATTCTACAGGAAAACTATGTGGAAAAACTAAATGCTCTGAAATATACCTAACTAACCAGTTCAATTCAAGTAAGCATGTCTCTCTTTGTGCATCTAGCTTATAAACAATCTCTGTCTTTTTCTGGTGAAGTGAATCCTCCATATCTGTGGATTCTACATCTGTAGATTCAACCAAATACAGATCAAAATTAGTCATTAAAAAATCACATCTGTACCAAACATGTAAAAACTATTTCTTTATCATATTCCACAAGCATCATAGTAAAAAAAAGTATTTCCAAAGCATTTGCATTGTATTAGGCATGATAAGTAATCTAGAATTTTAAAGCATGCAAGAGGATATGTGCTGGGTATATGTAAATTCTATGTCATTATATATGGGACTTCACATCTACAGAGTTTGTTGTCTGTGGAGGTCCTGAAATCAATCTTCCATACCCACTAAAATACAACTATACTTCAAATATGGTGAGATAATATGAAAGGAGGTATTTCAATTTCATTAGAGGAATGAAAAAAATAAAAAGGAAAAATAATAATTCCACTTAGCATATTATAGTCTCATAATTCCTACACAGTTAAGGAATGATAAAAGTCTCCATGCCTTTGTCTTTACTATGATCTTCAACAGCATGGGAAAGGAAAGTCGGCCATTATTGACTATTCAACCCAAATCAATTGAGTACCTAGTTAATGCATTTTCAGTAGATTGGTGTTAATAGAAAAATGAAAGATATAAGATAGAATAACTTATTTTTAAAATGTTTAAAATGGACTTAGAAGACACTATGCATATTTTAAATAAAATAAATACATTTATAAACACATATGTGAATATCTGCTTGAAATGAAAGAGGAATGTATACTGCTAACACACACAAAATTAACTTAAGGAAGAAACAAATTTCTTTCTCTTGGGTTGGCCTATAGACAGGTGGGCCTTACATTATGAATTGAATCTTACTAGTTAGAGAAGTGTAGATGCATGAGCAAAAATGTTAAAGACAGAAAATCTTCAGTAGATTCTGGGAAATTGTACTTCACAAATGTCCTTTAAATTCTAACCCTTTTAACAGGTAGTAAATCTAAACCATTTAGAGCTCTTACACCAATCAAAAACAATGATGTCATATTTCCACCCATACACAGACAATATTTAAAATAAAGCCAAAGTAGCCTATAAAATTAGCCAAAGGAGGTCAAAATTCTGATTTATTTCATTTTGGATTAATAAATTCATTAGATGATATGTTGTTGGTTCTCCTGCTTTGCTGATGCCCCAAATAAATTAACAAGATTGTGCTTATCATACCACTGGGAAATTCAAAATTATGGCTGGCAGAATTAACTTTAAAAAATTCCATTGTATCTCCCAATGTTTTCAATTTATGTTTACAGAATGGGTTCATCGTTATAACATTAGAAATGCATTTCTAAGTTTATTTGTACTTACTTACTGATTGGTAATTTATGAGTAAAAACATACTCATGTATCATATACCATTATTAATCTAAAAGATGAATAGGTAAATAATTATATACTAGTAGAAAGATGAACACAAATCAGGAGAGCATCAAAGGTTATTCACAGCCAACTTAGAAACATTGTATTATCTGTGCTAATGAGAACCACTAGAAACAAAAGTAATGTAACTCGTTAGAAAGTTTTGAGTTTTGGGAAAGAAGCAGTTCTTGAGACCTGTCTTCCTTGTGCTTCAAAAGCTAAGGCTGATGAACTGGTGCCCCTGGAAAAGAGATGGTTTATTCTGCTTATCTATAACCAAAGCTAACAAGTTTCATGGTTTTGAAGATCTAGATGTTTCACAGCTTTGGGAAGAACTTTATTTATAGATAGATGTGTATATCTATAAATGAGCACACATCCTCATTTCCGTCTTAGTCTTGACATACAGTCTAAACTAATTTTAAAACATTTAATTATTATGTTACAAATAAGACTGAGAATTGATTATCTTTTTGCTCCTGTGAAGGTAGAGGATATAATATTTTTTAAAAGAGGTGTTGGCAAAGCAAAACTTGTTACTGTGATTTTTCTGCAATTATTTATGATCCTAAACTGTTAAGCAACTGTAATGTAAGTACGTTACTTTCATCTTTTAATTTCCAAACACATAAAACATGCCTGATATATAAGCTTTTAATACGTGTTTGTGGAATGAATGAAAGAAAAAGGAAAAGAATTCCAATTAGAAATTGAGAAATGTAAGCATAAAGTTAATTATAAAAGAATTTTAAATATCAACTCTCTTGTTAATAATTTCATTCATATAGATTACCACAACTCATTTCAAAGCTTTAATTCTTTTAGATGACAAAATTTACATAACACTGAACACGAAGTATCAAGATAATTTCATATAATCCCGAAAACAACCCTCTGGGATAGAGATCATTATTCTTCTTTTACAGAAAACCTGTAACATAATGAGCTCAAGAGAGGTTAAGTAATACCCAAAGCCACAAATAGTAGAGCAAGGACTCAATACAAGCTTCAATTCTAAAGCCACCATGAGTATACAGTGTCCCAAGTGATGTCAGCCGAGGATAACATTTAGCTTGTTGCAATGTCTCAGTTGAATATAACAGTTTAAGAAACATGCAATGGGGTCAGACTCTCAGCCCCACAAATTACCAGTTGTGGAATCTTGAACAAGTTATTTCAACTCTGAATCCATCTCTTCTTTTCAAGAACTGAGCTGAAACTATCTACTCATTACAAGTGGTGTAAATACTAAATAAGATAATATACCAGGTACTAGGCACATGTTCCACCAGTGGCAATCATCATTAGATTTGATTGCTAATATAATGGATTCTGTCATATTGGGTGCTGTTTCTACTCAGTTGTTAGGTAACACGAGTACTTCATTGTTTCTAAAACCTCCACTTACTATGTCCTTTTGTAACGTTGTGTCCCTTAAAAGTTGAATTCAAAATTTGACTGGATTAAGATATATGTGAAGTCCTGGATCTGAGAGAGTAGAATTTGATAAGGGATATAAAAGAAAGTTTTCTAGCTAAAGAATTAACTAGGAAGATTTTTTTTCTAAGTCCAGCTTCACATTTGTAACATTTTAAAAGGCAATATAGGTCTCCTTCATGGCCATAGGTGAGAAGTGTTTGACTGCTTAATTTATGCTTGGTTCAGTTGCAAATGCTTTACATGTGTTGGCCTGTATCAACTTGACACCAATGCACTTGAAGTAGGCTTTATTATCATTCTCATTTTACACAGGTAGGAGGACAAGCACTAGGAATTTAAATATCTAGGCTAAATTCACCCAGTTAGTGAGTAACAGAGATTATTTGAACTCAGAGCTGCTGTCAGAATCCATGCTTGAAACTACTATACAGCCTCTCGCTAGAGCTGTCTTATCTCTAATCAATCCCACGTAGGCATGGAGTCTACAGAGTAGCACAAAGCACTTCTGCCCTTTTCCTGTAAGTTCTCTGTGTTTCCTGTAAGTTCCTCTGTGTCAGATAATGTTTATATCCTGCTTCAAAACCCCTTGGCCCTCTAGTTCATCCACAACTATAATAAAGTTTACCATAAATGGACAATTCCCCACATATAACTCTCTGAACCCTGCCCGAGGCTTATTTTCGGGGATTATGGACTAGGACCTATCAAAGTACAACTTAGATGTTTAGGAAAATGAAAAATCCTTGGGGCAAACGAGTCAATCCAAAACAGAACTGATGAATAAACTCCCACCCTTTCCATCCCAGTCACCTTCTCAGAGTCCTCAGTGGAAATGACTCTGGTTGGCCCAACAGCAAATATGTGTTCATTAAGGCACCTTGTACTGGCCCTTCTCCCTCCTTTTCACTTCCTACACTGCTTCACTGTGAGTTTTTGGAATTGCCTCCTAAGCAGACTATTTACACCCAGGCTTTGTCTCAGGGTTTATTCTGAGACAAATCCAAACAACCCCAACTGGGCATCTGAAAATTTCCTGCTTTGTCCAGTCTTATAATCACTTGGACACCAGCTCCATCCAGATTTGGTCATCAATAAACAGGCATGAGAAGGGGCTTAAGAAGAAAAATTTAGATCCTTTGGATTCTTCAAACTGAAACACAAACACTTCATCTTATTATTATTATTTTTTTTACAGGCAGAGTTAGACAGTGAGAGAGAGAGAGAGACAAAGACAAAGATCTTCCTTTTCCGTTGGTTCACCCCCCCAAATGGCCACCATGGCCAGCACGCTGCATTGATCCAAAGCCAGGAGCCAGGCACTTCCTCCTGGTCTCCCATGCGGGTGCAGGGCCCAAGGACCTGAACCATCCTCCACCTCCTTCCTGGGCCACAGCAGAGAGCTGGACTGGAAGAGGAACAACTGAGACAGAATCCGGCGCCTCAACCAGGACTAGAACCCAAGGTGCCAGCGCCACAGGCGGAGATTAGCCAAGTGAGCCAAGGCGCTGGCCAACTTCATCTTATTAACATTGACCATTCTATAATATCACATCAGTATGTCATGATGCCAAATTTCTTTCATTACTAAACACCAGATACCAAGATGGCAAGGTTGTGAGAGAGGAGTGGGGAGAGAAAAAAATATGCCCTATGAGGCAAGGGTTGCAAAGGTAAAAAAAATAGTTAATAATTTATCAAAATAGATTGTTGTGAATGTATTGTGTAATTAGGAAGCCAAATATACTCACTGAAATCTGCCTGAGTTGCAATTTAGTGGAGAAAATATATACAAGTCTGGTAAAATACAGACCTGAACTTGAATGTCAGTTTACCATAAAGGTCATGACCCAAAGCAAATTAACTTCTTGGAATCTAATTGTTCATACATATATAATGATGTGAGAAGGTCTCTCTTTCCAAATTGTTAAGGATTTAAATGTTATCTTGCATGTGAAAGTTGCAGGTAAATTTTTAATCAACATCAGTTTCCTTTCCTTCTCTCCACTTGTCAGAGAAGAAAACCATGGGCAATTTTCCTAATGATTATCAGTCGTACATATGCCAGCTTATCTGCTGCTCTGTTGTATTAATTTCCTGGAAATTCTACATATGCGTGGCAAGAAAATTCACTCAGTAAGCACTTCTTTTGCACCCATTATGAGAAAGATCCCATATATTTTCAAAAGAAACCTAAAGAATTCAGAGAAAGTGCAAATGAAAATAAACATCAGATTTTGAAACAATAACATACATGCATTAACACAGTCAAATGCGTTAAAGTCAATTTAAGACAAAAAACTGATGGCTTCTATTCTATGCCACTGATAATAGCAACATAAACAGATAATCCTCTCTATCCCTATGACAGATAGACTAGCTTTTAAGAAACTAATTTTAAAAAAGGAGGACAAGAAGGATCAACAGCAGCAGCAAAAGGAAGTATCACCTTCTGTCTGATTCCAATTCTTTCCGGCTTTCTTTATTTCTCCCACAAAGACTATAATAATCCATATGTAAATGAACAGACATTTAGAAGATTCAGCTGAAGCAGGTTTTCTACATAAATATGCTTCTCTAATGTTTTGAACAATGTTGCAAAAAAAATTGTTTCAAATTAAAGGAGCATGCACACATATGGAAAATTGCCCTCCAGAAAATGAGGGTTAGACTATGAGGTCTCCTTTAATTCTAGAGCTTCAGCTTTTTTCTAGCAGAAGTTGTAATCTAGAACCAAAGATTCAGGCAAAAAGGAGTCACTGGAACGCAGGAAGAGAATCTGAAACATTTTACTTTTTTGAACTTGTTTTTCAGATGTTACTGGAAAGTTATCTTGCAACACTGTACTCCCAGAGGATTAGATCAGCACAAACCAGGAAGGCTGCAGGAAACCAGTCTGAGAGATCTTTGAACATATGATCTATGAAGATGCACAGTGCAAGCAGGAATGGTCCTTCTGCTCCCTGCCTTTCCATATAATGGACACTGGCCTAATCCTTATTATTATAAGAGCCCTAGCAAACTGCTTCTTGGTGTGTGTGTGTTGGGGGGCAAGCTTCACTAGGAAATTATTCCTTCCCAACATTTCCTTTACTTGTCACAAGTCAATGAAGTTTTCCTGAGCAACTCCCACATTAAGCTGATTATCTGATGGCACCCTACCAGGGATGGGAAACCTTTGTTCTGCCAAGGGCCATTTGGATATTTATAACATCATCCATAGGCCATACAAAATCAGCCTGCTATAGATTTATTGAATTTTGTGTCCCACCTGCAATTGCCTTGGTAGGACTGCACCAAACAATTTCATGGTCTTTATACAGCCCACAGGCCAGACGTTCCCTACCCCTGCGAGTAAGCAAATGAATTTCTTGTGTCCAAGAACAGAGCTATGCCTAAGATCCTACTGGAGAGCTGGAGAGGGGTCAAGAAATGCCAATCACTGTCTGCCTGTAGATATATCCATCTAAAGAGACAGAAAAAGCACAGAGAACCATGCCCTGGGAACTCCTAACATCAGGCTTATCCCATGATCTGTCACATGTACTGAAGTGACCCATCCATTTCTTTGGTAACTAGAAACTGTAGACAGTGGATAAGCCTCAGGCCTCACACTGAGTCACAGAAAAAAATCACACCTGCACATACATGTGGGGTTTAGAGCAGAGTTAGAAGTTTAGCTGGACAGTACTTGCAAATCTTCCATATTTTAATAGCTGAACTTCTTGCCTTGCTTATGTTAAAATAATTTTATTACTCAGAGTCTAGTCTCTCTTCCTGAAAAACAGTGTTTTATAGACATAGCATCATTTGTAACCAAAGCAATAAATATCTGGATCTGAATATTTATTCTGCCATTTCATAACTATATAACCTCTATATGAGCTATACATAGCTCAGTTCACAGCTATATAGGTTTCTCAACATCCACCTCTATAGAAATTAGTATTGATAATTCTTATATGATTAAATGTTCTTCTAATCCAACAAAGTTGCAAACTCTGCTGTAAACTGTAATGACTCGCACAAACTGAGTAACAGTTTTCTTGCTTGGAAATAAACAATTCTAGAAAGGAGACTATAGTTTGCCAGGGTCTCATATAGCACTACCACCTTAATAAATACTGGACAATGGTTCTGACAATAAGGTTCCATTATTGTGGTTTATATTTTACTGAACAGGTCAAATGATTTGAGTGTTTACTAAAATTCCTACATTGTATCTTTTACATCCCATTAATCTATCTAAGAAATCAAAGGAGTACACAATTCACTGAATCATTCTTTTCCTTGCTTTAATGTTTATTTTCATTTATGTGAAAGGCAGAGTGGCAGAAGGAGAAAAACAGAGATCTTCACTCCCCAAATGTCCACAACCTGGCGGCCAGGCCAGGTGGAAGCCAGGAGCCCAGAACTCCATCTGGGTCTTCTATCTGAGTGGCAAGGGTCCAAGTACTTGAGTTATCACCTGCTGCCCCACAGGGTACACATTAGCTGGAAGCTGCATCAGATGTAGAGGCAAAACTCAAACCCAGGCACCCTGATAATAAGATGCAGGCATCACAAGAGGCAGCATAACCTGCTCTGCCACAATATCCAACCAATCTTTCTATATCAATAACGTTATTAACTGCTCTCTGATTTGAGAAGGTGAGTTCAAGCACCACAGCACTGTCTGGGTTGTATGTTTCATTTAATAAGGAGCATTTCCAGTATACCCATACAGAATGCAGAGTGGTGGAAAAGGTTCACTGAACAACTTCAAATAGCACAAAATCAAACCTTCACCAAAGAACTCCAACAAATGCTGATAGCCAGCATCAGAATTATTATTAATGTCTAGTACATGGAACAACAAGCTCAAGCTGCACCAGAAGAGCCTTTGGGAGTATCTATCATGTCATTCCTCAGGTCACAGATGATGAAAATGAGGGCTGAAGAAACAAAAGTACAACAGAATTCATTTTAACAGTCAAGGTTGAATTCCAAAACCCACCCTAAGCAAGGACATACAAGGGGAAATACATGCATAAAATACACAACATATAGCAACTCATCAGAATCTGCACAAGCAAACCCATTTGCCCGACAGCTGCTTGAAAGTATTTAAACTCTAAAACTCATCAATATATTGCTTAAAAACATATGACTTACTATCAAAATGCAGACACTAGGCTGATGGAAGAGTCATGGGTATATCTAGAGCAATGCACATAAAAGATTTTGAGTTGCTGTGAATCAGGCAGTAAGGTAGAACACACTGCATGAATCACCCCGTCAACTCCAGAGGCTGACGGATAAAGGACAAGGGCTTGTTTGATACAGTTTTCTCTTCAGGCTTCATCATGGAAATAAATTGAAAAATGATGATTCATGCCTCTGTGTCATAAGTCTTAACATCAAAACCCATACAATGATCTGCCTGCCATCTCTGTAAGGAAGGTGGCTATGAAGTTCACCCATGGTGAGTATACATGTTTCTGGGACTTCCCCACCTTTCCATGTTAGTACCCCCCAATACAAACCCTGGGAGAACAATGTGTGGGGAAGAGGGGAAAGTTGAAAAAAACTACTTGAGAAATAGCATTGTGCAACACTGATAAATTTTCCTTGCAATTGAGTCCTGAGGTTAAATTCTCAAGAAGGTAAATCTTTGCTTCTATACCCTTTGATGCTCTTTCAAAAACTTCCTCTGATGCCTTGGTTTCCCTACTTTCTCTCCTTCCTCCCACCCCCATCCTACAGCTCTTTGGGTTCCACTTTTTTTTCCATTTTCATGATGGCTGTGTTCTCTATGTTACATCATCTGAATGAAAATTAAATTCCTGCTAAATTATTATGTCCCTCAGGTATACCTGCTTTGTAAATTATGACTCCATATAAAACCAAGAAACCTTCAAAAGCTGACCAAATGAGGTTTCATTGAAGGAATTCAGACAGTATAATAAATGGATAGGAGATCCCTTTCAGACTGTATTGGGGAGAGTGCAGCCCCTAACTGAAATTATATGCAGTAGCAGCTGCTTTTATATTGCATTCCAAATTTTCAAGATTTTCTTTAAACCAAAAGTTCATTAATAGTATTCACATACACTTCATCAAAATTAAATACAGAAAATAACCCACAGGCTATGTTATCACTTATGTTCCAAATTAATTAAACCTCATGAGACCAAAGAGTCAAACTAAGGGGAGAAATAAGCAAACCTCAGCCTCATTTTCTGTTTCCTACTTCAGACTTTACACATGTTTACCTTTTGCATGAAATGCTCTTCCCAAGAGTCCCCTTCAGCTACTACCTCTACTGGGTTAACTCCTACTTATCTTTCAGTATTCAGATGATGATGAATCAGAGAATGGTTTCACTGTGTCCAGAATGGAACACCTCCTCTTCCTACTCTAAAATGCTCTATTCTACCACTATATAAAAATTATAGTTAGATGAAGTTGACCAACTCCAAGTATGTTGATATATATATAATGTATATATACATATATTTATGTATATTATATATATAACAGACATCTGAGAAGGATCAACACAGAATATTATGAAAACAATATTATCTCTTGAGAAATACTAATATCTATATCATAACAAACTTGGAACCTGACACACTTTAAGTTGGTGCATCTTGGTACATCCTCTTGTGTTGTTATAAAAGCCATTTAACTCTAAAGATCTTTCACTGTGGAAACACAGGAATGAAAAATTGTTCCACAAACATAAATCTACCACCATGCCTCATTCTAGTATAGTAGACCAAATCTAAGAGCTAATTAAAAAATCTCTCCCAACTTTTCCACTAAATATGTATAAGAATTTTGCATAAAAATCATCTAACAAAATGTGGCACATGACAGTAATTAAAGGTTCAACTGTGATTATACAATGAAGATTGCATCTAAGCATAATATTTTGCCTGATTTAATATCATTTGTGGAATGAAATTACTTTAATAGCTCTTTATTCATTTGAATGATATTAAAAGGAAACTACAAGATATACATAGGGAGCGCTTTTGGGGAATGTTGTGCTCAGGTTCCCCTTTTGGAAAAAGGAATTCATTTTCCCAGCTACTGGCAGTGCTGCCTGAAGAAGGTCCTATGCATTAAGCCTTCTTGGAGGATTGTCTCCGTGGGAGAAATCCACCTTGCCTAACACCACATCTACTTGGAGAAGAAGCCCCCATTAAATAGCCACATCCAGTCCCAATCATTGCAGGGATATAAAAGCCCATTCTTCCTTCCCCAAATTCTAAAGTGTCATCCCAGCTCCAGAGTTCCCCAAAGAATATACTGGGGTCTTCAGTGCAACTAAATCACATTCCAGCTTCTCTCTCTTCCACAATCCTGCTTCCTTTCCCTCCCTTCTATTGATATTGATCTCCAAAGTGCTTCCTAACACATATCTTGCATATTAATCTCCATCTCACAATCTGTTGTAGGAAAACTCAGCCTAAAATAATTCCAATTAAATTGTTGCCAATAGAGAAATGGCTGTAAATTAAGGAACTGAGATGAATCTCAGTTGATTCTTCTTGTTCAAGGGTTTTGGTTTGCATAGTTAGAAATTTGAGATCAGTGACTTTCTATGAGGGAGGCTTCCTAGGTGGCCACCTTCTAGCATGAAAGTGTGTTTTGTTTCATAATAACCTGGGTCCTAACCAATCCCTAGGTGAGAGCTGTGCTATGACAAGACATGTGACCCTTGGCCTTTTAGCCTAGCAACTCTTCCCTTTGAGACATCACTGGACATTATATGCCTGTCCTGTTTCATCTCTCTAGGCTGTCCAGTATCATCTAGGATGGAGAAAGTAGGTAGTGATGATTTATTGAGTGAATTCACTATTCTCCTTGTCCCCTTATCTCACAAGCTGACAGTGGAACAGAGTGACTCATTTGGTTTATTTTTCCTGTCATTCAAGAGGTTCCAACCTCTTGACCTGTCAAAATAGTGTGCTTAGTCTCATACTATTCAAACAGCACAGCTTTTATTAGAGTAGTGCATGTCTCAGAACATTCTACTTGTAATGCATTCTATTTGTAATGCAAATGTAAATTTAATTATACTTTATTGCTGACACTATTTGATTACAAAACTTACTTATTCTTACTTACTTATTCACTCATTCATTTACTTATTTACCTATTTTTTTCGCTCACTTGACATACATCATGTCAGAGTCTTCCAGGAAGCACAGACATTAATATTCCTAGGAAGTAAATACAGCATTCAGTGATCGGCTGTTGATCCTCACCACAATGCAGTGCCCCTGTTGAAGTCAATTATATTTTTGAGTTCCTATGTGGAGTTTCTCACAAAACACTCCATATCTGCACACTCATGTATCACTGGGACCTATGTGAATTCTACTAGAACTTTGCCAGCTAGTTTACAAGCACTCACATGTTAAGTCAGTTTGATTTCTCCTGTGTCGCTCCCCGTCTTCGTGGAGGAACGACACAGGACCCTGCGCTGTTCTTTCGTCTGCCCGGGTTTGCTGCTGGTTCTTCCCGGGTTGGCTACCGTCCCTTCCACCTCCGTGGAAGGGCGGTTCCCCCTGCCACCTTCCCCACTTCCGCGGGGGAGCGGCATACCGCCGGCCGGCTCTCTCGGGGGCTGCACAGGTGTTCCTTCAGATAGATGTTCCTGGTGCATGTTGTCTCTCTCCTCCTTTATAGTCCTCTTCCACCAATCCCAACTCTGCTACCCACACGCCGAGTACGCTGCTCTCCTCCAATCAGGAGCAGGTCCTGCTGTTTATTGGTTGAAGTGGAGGCAGCTGTGTAGAAGCTGTTTCCTCCTCTCCCAGCGCCATATTGTGGGAGAGCAGATGCATAGAATAAGTCTTAATTCCAGTAACTTAGTCTAGTCCGGGTTGCTCCCCACATCCTGTATGTTAGTTTCAGGAATTTTCAAAGCTGGATTTCTAGCTCACTTTCTTGATATCCCTAGATTTATTCCTCTTTCTTTCCTCTTACTTTTTTGTCTCTGCAACTTCAATTTGTTTTAATCTCTTGAAACTATTCGTACATTTCCTCCAAAAAATTTGCTCTTTTTAAAAAAGATTTATTTATTTGAGAGGCAGAGTTACAGAGAGAGAGAGAGGGAGACACAGAGAAAGAGAGGTCTGCAATCACTGGTTCACTCCCCCAAATGGCCGTGGCAGCCAGAGCTGGGCCAATCCAAAGCCAGGAGCCAGGAGCTTCTTCCAGGTCTCTCACTTGGGTGCAGGGGCCCATGCATTTAGGCCATCTTCTACTGCTTTCCCAGGCCATAAGCAAAGAGAAGCAGGCAAGAAAAGAATCTGCACCCATTTGGAATATGGCACTGTAGGTGCGGGCTTCACCTACTGTGCTGCAGCATCAGCCCAAACTACTATGCCACAGCATTGGCCCACAGAAAATTGTTCTTAAAACCAAACAAAAACAGGGCCAGTACTGTGGGGTAGAAGGTAAAGCTGCTGCCTGTTGCACCGACATCTCATACTGGTTCTGTCCTAGCTGCTCTAATTCCAATGCAGCTCCCTGCTAATGGGCCTCGGAAAGCAACACAGAAGATGGCCCAAGGGCTTGGGCCCCTGCACCCATGTGGGAAACCTGGAAGAAGTTCCTGGCTCCTGACTTCAGATTGGCCCAGCTCCATCTGTGTGTCAACTTGGGGAGTGAACCAGTGGATAGAAGATCTCTCTCTCTCTCTTTCTCTGTGTAATTCTATCTTTCAAATACAAAAATGAATTTTTTTAAAAAAGAAAACAAAAACAATACCAAATGCACTTGATGTATACACTTGGGTATAGAGACTAAGAAAATGGGAAAAGAATATCAATTTTGGTTTAATAAAAGTGAGGAAAAACTTTAATTTGGACTAAACTATGAAAGACAAAGGAAAAGAAATGATGGCACTATTAAAATATGTTAGAAATTGCTGCTTAAGTAATAGCCATTAACAATCTTTTTAAATGATTTTTAAAACTAATCCTCAATAACATTATATAATTGCTTATTTAATCTCTTTTATTAGTAATGATCATTTCAGTATACTTAATAGAAAGAGAGGCCGGTGCCACGGCTCACTAGGCTAATCCTCTGCCTGCGGCGCCGGTACTCCAGGTTCTAGTCCTGGTTGGGGCGCCGGTTCTGTCCTGGTTGCTCCTCTTCCAGTCCAGCTCTCTGCTATGGCCCAAATGCTTAGGCCCTGCACCCGCATGGGGGACCAGGAAGAAGTACCTGGCTCCTGGCTTCGGATTGGCGCAGTGCGCCAGCCGTAGCAACCATTTGTGGGGTGAACCAACGGAAAAGGAAGACCTTTCTCTCTGTCTGTCTCACTGTCGAACTCTGCCTGTCAAAAAAAAAAAAAAAAAAAAAAAAAAAAAAGAGCAAAAGAAATACAAAATACAAATAGGCCTCACCAAAACGATAGTTCTCTCAATCTTCTCATAAAGTGCTTATTGTGTGTCAGGATCACAAAGGCCCACATACAGTGTTAAAAAGTACTTGGCACTTTTATTATCCCATTAGAAGATGAAGTAAACTGAGGTTGAATAAAATGAGGCAATTGGCTGAAAGTCTCAGTAGAGGGATTTGAATTCAGGTAACATGCCCTGATTATGACATGATACTGCCTCATTTGATGTAACGTCTGGAGCCCTGGAGAGTGTGTCTGGCCAAGTTTAGAAGCCAATCAGAGTTTGTGGGTTTGGACTTTCAAAGTACGCTCAGACCTCTTGGCATTTACACTCTTTTTGTGGTGGACAAAATGCAAACTTCTATTTGAAAAGGGGGGAAAGAAAGTAGTCTAAATGGCTTCAAGGTTTTTGAACATCAAACAGTTCTTAACAAAGAACAGTACAATCACTGAAGTGTATCCAGATTAAAAAAAATACACGAGTTTGACAGAAATCTGATTCACAAAATACCCAGAGCCATTTTGTGGTTATCATAGTTCCAAGTAAAATAGAAACTTTGTCTTGTGTTATTCTCTCCCATTAATTGATTCCTGATTGGGTGTTCCTGATCTCCAAGGCATGCCAGTGGACACACACGGGGAGCTTCATCATTCAGGAAATGATGCTGGCAAGACCAGAAGGTTTGGCAGGGTGGGTGGCTTGGGGGCAGCCCTGGCTGGAGCTGCCTCACATGGTCCAAGTCAGCAGCAGCAACAACTGTAAGAACTTTCAGTCTGGAAATTTCACAAAAGGGTGGATTTTTTTTTCCATGTCCTTCAAAGTCTGTGGATAGATGGATGGGCAAGCAATTTGTGCCTGCAACTTGCTAACGTGGGCAGCTAAGATCAAAGTAAAGGAAATTGTACAAATTGTCTACTTGAATACTAAAGAAGAAAAGAAAGCCTGGCCAACTTAACCAAATACTGCTTCTTTTTCTTTGAATTCTTTATTTTTCTAATCCAGAAGTTTATGTTCTAAATGGCTGGTGAGCAAAGCAGTAAAGTGGCTCACAGTCAGTATTTTGAGACTGTTACTAGAAAACCTTATTTCAAGAAATAAGAGACCTATATTTTTTATTTTAACACCAGTGAAAATAACAAGACATAATTGTTCAAATAATCATGTCAAGAAAATCCAGGATGTCATGATTTATAGAAGAGCACTGAGTTACAAAGTACTACTAGCTTGAAGAAGAAAGTAGCTCGGCCAGGAAGCATCACAAAACACATTTCTTATCTAAAAATGAGAGTTGAACTACACTATCCAAGGCTCCTTCTCATTCTAACACCCCATATCACTATTTGACATTTAATGTATGTGATAAACTGGATAAACTACTTGTCTTTAGTTTAATGACTTTCATATACCAATTCTTAGACAACTCTTATTAAAGGACATTTTAGAACATTCCAGAAACTGACACTGAAAGTGAGGTAAACTGGACTTGTTCCAGTTCTGACATGGGTTAGCTATAGGAAAGTGACAAGCCAATTAACTTCATTTCCTCATCTGGAAAATCAAACTAATCTTTTCAGGTCTGATATTTGCTTCCCATATAATTACCACTTATTATTCTATGGTTCTTCATAAAATTACACTAAATACTATTTTAGTACTTTTGAGTTAGTATAATGTTAAGTCAGTTTCACTAAATTTTTATTTCTTTTTATTTATTTTATTTTTAACTGACAAATAATTATATACATTTTTGGGATACCATGCTATGCTTCTATAAATGTATGTATTGCACAATGTCCAATCAGGGCAAACATATCTATGTCCTCAATATTCCATATTTCTTCATGAGGGAAATACCCAGGACTCTATAAAATACTGGAAGCATATTTAATATCATTCTATTTAACACAGAAGTAAAGTGGAATTAAAGAATCCAAGAGTTAATGACTAGAAGATTTGTATCAGTAATGAAAATATATTGGAATATATCTTTCTGGAGATAAGTGACATCAGTTTATTGACAAAGAAATTCAGTCATACTAATTACCTGCCATTATTAATTAGCTACAAAGAAGACGAGATCAAGATACCGCCAGGGAAGACAACATATAAGAGTCCTTGTTATGGGGCTAGAGTTGTAGCACAGCACATTAAGACACTGCCTGTAATGCTGGCAGCAGAAGATGGCCCAAGTGCTTGTCCCATCCCCACCCCCACCCTCCCCTCAGCCACACACACACACAGTAGGAGACCCAGATGGAGTTCAGGGTTGCTAGCTTTGGTCTGGTCCAGCCCTGGCCATGTCAGCTATTCCGGAAGTGAACCAGCAGAAAGAATCTCAATCTCTATCTCCCTCTCTCTCTCCCTCACCTTCTCCCTCTTCCTCTCTCTCTCTTTCCTTCAGTCTCTGTAACTCTGATTTTAAATAAATGACTACATCTTTTCTATCAAAACACACAAAAAGTCCTTATTTAGCCAAGCTCTGTCACCAGTTATTTTTATATTGACTTTCACTCCAACATTAGCACCACCTATTAACTTAAAGCACCATCATCTTTCCTCTGAGTCCATCTACATCTCAGAAAACCAAAAAACAAATACTTCTATATGTATACTCTATCATATGAAATATCAGCTATAATTTACTAGTGACTAAATAATGAATATTTTGGAAACAGTTGTTATTCACAAATATTTCATATGACTTGTTACATCTTCTTGGGTACCCTAGTTTAGGAAAGTTATTGATTCTGACTTATTATTCTTAATGTCACTTAGCAAGTATTAATGAAATTTATTTAAAACTGTAAATCTTAAGAAAATAAAAATGGAAGATTTCATTAACCATAGATGTATACATTCTACTTTAATTCATGGGTTTCAAATATCTTTCTACCAACATGGCCAAATTCTCACTTCCTTCATACATAATGAAAATAATGAATATTTATATGTTTATAAAATCCTAAAATTTTGAGGCAAAGATTGACTATTTTGGATAATAATTGTTCAAGGACTAGTTTATCTATATAATCCCTATATATTTTAATACATTTTGAGGATAGGGTCAAAATTTTCACATTTTATGCAGTTCCTTCTACTCTGTAAACACTATCCATCCAATATACACTGTACATGGCTAAGTGTAATTGCTATAGAGTAATTGAATCAATATTTTAAATCTACTTCATTTATGGTAGAAACATTCTGTTTGAGATTCATATTTGCTCAAAGCCCTCTAATGGCCTCCCATGCCACTCACTCAGAGGGGAAACTAAAATCTATTGAACCCCCAACCAACTCCTGTTTAGCTCTCTTTACCTGATTTCCTGCTCTTCTCCTCCTAGTCCACTGCATTTTAGCTACAAGGTCAGTGGTGCTACCACCTTGAATCCTTTCCAATTGTTCCCTCATCCTGGATGCTTTGCCCCTGTAGGTTCTCCTTGACACTGTTTCATTCAAAGGTCTTTTCTTTCCATTCTTTCTAAAATGTTATCCCTTTCCCCACTTTGTCTATCTCCTCAACACTTCTCACTACTTGACTGATGAGCTCTTCATGTATTGCTTCCTATTGAATTTGCCTCTCAATTACAAAGTAAAATGCATGAGGGCATGGACTTACGTTCTCATATTTGCAGAATTTATTTGGCATTAAACAAATATTTCTTGAATGAGCAGATACATTTCTGGAAACTTCTCATTATAATCTGAAAAATAGCACCTATAGAAACTGGTGTCCAATAAGTTGAATCTATGTCTCACCATGTCTTAAGAATGAAATGTCTTGATTCTTCTCAATATTAATCTCTTTATGTTTTTCAGTTTTCTAATTCTACAGTTTTGCTACCTGGATAGTGTTCATCAGAATCAACTTGAATTTATATGGAAATGCAGATTCCTGGGCCCTGATTCAAATCATAGTCTCTGGTAGGGAAGGAGACAGTGTTAATCTGTATTTTAAATAACATTTCCAAGGACTGGCATTTTGGCTCAGCCAGATAAGCTGCACTTGGGACATCCATATCCCATATGGGAATGCCAGCTCAAGTCCGAGCTCCTCCACTTCTAATCCAGTTTCCTGCTAATGCATCCTAGGAGACAGTGAATGATGACTGAAGTACTTGGGTCCCTGCCACACACATGGGAGACCAGGGTGGAGTTCCAGGATCCTGACTTCAGCCTGATCCAGTCCTGACTACTGTAGACAACTGGGGAGGGAATCACCTGAAAGAAGATAACATAATCCTTTCACTCTCCCTCTCCCACTCCATCTCCCTCTCCCTCTCTCTTCCTCCCTTCCTCTGTTTCCCTGCCTCCAAGTAGGTGAAAATAAATAAAAATTTAAAAACAAATAAGGAGGGGTGGGAGAGTGGGTGGGAGAGTGGGTATTGTAGAAATAATCACTGTATTCCTAAAGTTGTACTTATGAAATTTATGAAGTCTGTATTCCTTAAATAAAAGATTTCTTTGGGAAAAAAAACCAACCAAATAACATTTCCAAGTGATATTTACACACACTAAAGTGAGAGAGCCAATTTTAGGAATATTTTATAGCACACTTATTTTCTGGATATCTTTTTCCGAGGTTCAGAGCTCTATACAAGAGCATATATACTCAATGTTTGTCTAAAGGACCATATACTCACGGTTCTCTTTACTAGCCAGCTTTTAAGTTTTTTTTTACGTAAAGCATGAAAAGAATGATAGCAGCCATCACAATGTTTATTTTAAACTTCACATACTTCCCTTCCACTAAGTAACTCTAACTTGGGGGACTAATTACTTTCAAGTTTATTCTTTGAACAATGAAAGCATTCCATCCTTCTTTTCATATATGCATATCAAGTCCAAGTTTTTGAATATTTCAGGAATAGTTTAAATTGAACAGCTGCTTCTTTTTTGAAGAAATCTACCATAGATGAAAATTTCAGTTAATATTCAGAAATCAAATGCATTTTACAAATACATCTTACCTCATTCAATCCATCGGATTCTATTGGGAAGCATCAGCATTGTTTACTTACATTCTCAGAAGGGTTTATCTATGTAGCTACTTGTCTCTAATGATGAGACAAATAGAAAAATCATGAACTTCTCAAAATCTTTAATAAAACCTGGCTTCAAACTGACCTGATATTTTTACAACAAGTGTGAGGTTTTACCAGGCAAGAGGGAAATAAAATGTGTTTATATTTTTATTTGTTTGTTTATCTAACCAGCACACACATTTTTCAAGCAATTTGGGTTTGGCATCACCCACAATGCTCTAGCCAAACACTTTTCCTTTAATTTTTATTACCAAAGAAATTTTCAGGGAAATTTAATCCACATGTTTCTGATTCATTCCATATCCAGTAATGTTTCAGTGAAGGATATTTGATTCCAAGGACTTAGCAAAAGATTTTTCATCTGCATTTCCTCAGACTTCAGGTAAGAATCAATAAGAGGGACGGTTTACTCCCATGTACAAGATTCACCCAAACTGCAATGAGCCAAACAACGCTAAGGACCAACATTTTTCCTCAAGTTTCTGGGACGTTGAAGCAGTCTGTATTGACTGAAAATTCCCAGTTTGATCAAACCAGTATTAGTTTAACAGCAGGAGTAGTTCCATTTTCTGAGAAACTCTACTCCAAATGGTTGAGTATTCAATAGCTACCAAGTACATGAAACATGCCAGATACTTTTGCTGTAGTCCTGGAAGGAAATAAGATGAACAAAGGTTAGTACTGAATAAGATAATAACAATGTTCCACCTTAAAACTTTAAGATGTGTCGAAAAAAGAAAAAAACTTTAAGATGGACTGTCTAGTTCTCATCAGAAACCTTACTCAAATCTTAATACACATAAATACAAATGCATGCACACACACAGGACCATAAGCCTTTTATGCATTTGAGAGAGAAGGAAGGGGAGAGTGAAAGAGAGAAGATACCCCACACACAAATACTTGGAATGGCCTGGGATGAACTTGGGCCCAAGCTGAGGGCCTGGAAGACAATCTGGATGATGTACCAACTGGATGGCAGGAGCCAAATTACCTGCGTCGTCACCTGGTGTCTCACAGTCCACATCAGTAGGGACCTGGAGCCAAGAGCCGGAGCCAGGTACTTTGAAGAGGGATGTGAGCATCTTCATGACTAGCCTAATGCTCATTTGAGGATGGTAATCTTAAATTTTAGAAACTAGAATTTTATTCAGTTTAACTGAATATCTCTGTCCAGATGGCATCTCATCATCCAGAGCCTTTCCATGTGGGCTTCTTACAGTGCGATTATCTTGGGGTAATCATCCTTCCTACATATGATCACACTTCAGCCCTATTTTTCTATTGATCAAAACAGTCACAAGGAAAAAACCACTCAGTCAAGTTAGAGTTGAGTACATACCCTCCAAAATGAAGATAAAATAGAATGGTTGCTTTCAGCACTGTGTTTGTTAAGAATAAATAGGCTAATCCTCCGCCTTGCGGCGCCGGCACACCGGGTTCTAGTCCCGGTCAGGGCGCCGGATTCTGTCCCGGTTGCCCTTCTTCCAGGCCAGCTCTCTGCTGTGGCCAGGGAGTGCAGTGGAGGATGGCCCAAGTGCTTGGGCCCTGCACCCCATGGGAGACCAGGAGAAGCACCTGGCTCCTGCCATCGGATCAGCATGGTGCGCCGGCCGCAGTGCGCCAGCCGCAGCGGCCATTGGAGGGTGAACCAACGGCAAAAGGAAGACCTTTCTCTCTGTCTCTCTCTCTCACTGTCTACTCTGCCTGCACTAATATGTAAAAAGGAAAATCTAAGGGTTATAGAAGTCAAAGTCACTGCACTCAAGAATTTGATAATCCAATGAGTGCAAAAAAGCATGTGATTATAAAATGATGACGAAAGAGAAAAGAATGAGACTATAAGCAATAAAATATTTATAGTAGCAAGGAGAATCATTGGAAACTTCTAGAATAAAAAAAAATAATTCTACGATTTGAGTATGACAGCCAGAAAAGGCTTCTCATTAGATGATCTGCATCTTTAGCTAGTGATGTATTTGTATTGCCAGAAAAGAAAGAAGAGGGCCTTTTATGAGGAAAACAGTATGAGCAAAAGAGAAAGACAGAAAGGAGGAGAAGGAAGTAAAAGGAGGAAAGGCAGAGAGGGAGGAAGGTATGCAAGGAAAAAAAGGGGAAAGAAGGGACAATCAAGAAACAGAAGAGTAAGAAAGAAATTGACTTGGCTTGAGTAAAGGGACTGAAAAAGTATATTTTGAAACAAAAACTCATTGTATTTGAGGTAAAAGAATAAGCACACATATTTGCCTAAATATATATGCACAGTGAGTTCTAACTTAAAGAGGTTGAAAAACTATACAAAGATTTGTTATAACCTCTTAAAGCATCACACCACTAATTTAGATGTGGGTTTGATTTCACAAAACAAAGACAGAAAGTAAATAAATAAATAAGTAAATAAACAGATATCACATTCAGTTTTTTTTTTTTTTGACAGGCAGAGTGGACAGTTAGAGAGAGAGACAGAGAGAAAGTTCTTCCTTTGCCGTTGGTTCACCCTCCAATGGCCACCGCAGCCCAGCGCACTGCGCTGATCCAATGGCAGGAGCCAGGTGCTTCTCCTGGTCTCCCATGGGGTGCAGGGCCCAAGCACTTGGGCCATCCTCCACTGCCTTCCCTGGCCACAGCAGAGAGCTGGCCTGGAAGAAGGGCAACCGGGACAGAATCCGGCGCCCCGACCGGGACTAGAACCCGGTGTGCCAGCACCGCAAGGCGGAGGATTAGCCTAGTGAGCCGCGGCGCCAGTCACATTCAGTTTTACCCAGTACATTTTCATATATAACCACTGTGGGCATCAATTGAGCCAAAGGTCACCATTTAGCAACCAGCCCTGGGAAGAACTGTCTCACTTAACAAGGTTACTAGATCTGGCTATACCTCAGAATCTAAGAAGCAGATTAGTACAGTTGACAGCCTCCCTTTTCTGACTAAACACTCGAATGACTTTTTTAGTCATATTTGCTGATATTGAAGACCTTGGAAACATTTGGGTAGCATCATTGGACTTATCTGGCTCTACAATGGACTTTAAGCATTAGATTGAATGCCATCTGAAAGTGAGAAGTTATTGTCTTCACATTCTGCCTGCTTTGGGGCAGAACCATGAAATGAACCCAGACGTCTTTCACCTTGAGGATTCGGGCAACATACCTAGGAGGCAGCACAGGGATAGTGAAAAGAGGGCCAGAATTGAGTTCAAGGACCTGAATAAAACTCTGCTACTGCTCATGAGATATTGAGTGATTAAGTTATTTTCTCTATCAGTGCTTCCTTGTAGGAACAGGTATTAATTTGCTCCATCGTGGGCCAAGGCACTGTCCTAAGAGCTTGTAAAATATAAATGAACACAACTGATAAGGATCCATGCCCTTTTCATAATCCACACAAATAAACAATAAATCAAAGGTGACATAATCTAACTCCCATGTTAAAGAATCACTCTGGAAGATGGCGGAATAGGAAGGGAGCACACTGATAGTCCGGGGAGAGACAGTTTAATAAAAGTGGAGATACTGCAGGTTCAAGGAAGAGTAGGGGAGGAAACAGCAGAAGAAACGCTTCCGGAATGAGTGATTCACAGTGGACCTGTGTGGAGAGCGTGGGAGCCCACAGTTCGGGACACCAGCGGCAGACTCAGCACACCAGCACTGGAACGCGAGGTGAGCCGAACCTCAATAGCCTGAGACACCGGCAGGCAAGCAGAGAGAGGAGACTAGAGGGAATGACCCCCGGGGGGGGAAAGTTCACCAGACTAACTGGAAGAGAGAGAGAGAGAAAAAAAAGGTGACTGGTACAGACACAGGTTTCTCTCTCTCTGCTCACCTCTCAAGGGCGAGCAAGACAAAGAGCAGGCGCCATCTTGGACATACGTCATAAGCAGAGCAACCTCAGGTCTGCACCGGCCCTGAGCCTAGCAGAAAAACCTGACTCTGGGCGGGGCGAATTAATAGATTAGGACCTAGTAAATTTGTGGTGCTACTGAACTGAGACTGTGAAAAAAGAGACGGTGGGGGAGAGAACTCACGGAATTCACGTGAGTACTCTCCAGAGACACTACAATTCCGTAACTTTGGAAACCCAGTGGGAGACTGAAGGAGAATTTGAGCCCACTCTGAGGGCAGAACAGATTCCCTGTGTGGTCCTTGGGAAAGAGCTTCCGATCTCTGGCTCCTGTGGGTGTATCATTTGCCTGCTAACTAACTCCAACTTCGTTGAGCTGTGCGGAATTACTTCCCTTTTGAATCAAAAAAAAGAAAGAGAGAGAGAGAGAGAGATCTACCACACCTAACCTGGGAGTGTCACCTTTGGCACACCAAACAGAGCTCTCAGGCCACACCCATCTCAAGCCTCTAAGGCTCCATCAAAAACAGACAGTCCACTTAATCTAGAGTCATAGTATAACAAGAAAAAGCACCACAGTGAAGAAACCAAATATCTCCAATATGCCAAATAACAAATGCAAAAACCGAGGTAATAAAAACAAGGAAGTCACCATGACGCCCTCAAATGAAAAAGACACCCCAATTCAAGATTATGAAGATGATGAGTTAGAAGAAATGCAAGAAGCAGATCTCAAAAAATTGATAAGAACATTAAGAAGTTCTCAAAAACAAATTCTTGAACTACAGAAATCCTTAATGGACAAGATAGAAAATCTCTCTCGTGAAAATGAAATATTAAGGAGGAATCAAAATGAAACGAAACAACTAGTACAACAGGAAACTGGGATAGTGACGAGAAATCATAATGAAGTGAAGAATTCAATAGATCAAATGAAAAACACAATAGAGAGCCTTACAAACAGAATGGGTGAAGCAGAAGAGAGAATATCAGACTTAGAAGACAGAGAACAGGAAAGGATACAGTCAGACCAAAGAAAAGAAGAGGAAATTGGAAATCTAAAACATATTGTCAGGAATCTGCAGGATACTATTAAAAAACCCAACATCCGGGTTCTAGGAGTTCCTGAAGGCATGGAGAGGGAGAAAGGATTAGAAGGCCTTTTTAGTGAGATATTAGCAGAAAATTGCCCAGGTTTAGAGAAGGACAGAGAAATCCTAGTACAGGAAGCTCACAGAACCCCTAATAAACACGACCAAAAGAGATCCTCACCACGACACGTTGTAATTAAACTCTCCACAGTGAAACATAAAGAAAAGATCCTAAAATGTACAAGAGAGAAACGTCAGATTACTCTCAGAGGATCTCCAATCAGACTCACAGCTGACTTCTCATCAGAAACCCTACAAGCTAGGAGGGAATGGCGAGATATAGCACAGGTACTAAGAGAGTAAAACTGCCAGCCCAGAATATTATATCCTGCAAAGCTCTCATTTGGGAATGAAGGTGAAATAAAGACTTTTCATAGCAAACAGAAATTGAAAGAATTTGTCGCCACTCATCCAGACCTGCAAAAAATGCTTAAAGATGTGTTACACACAGAGACACAGAAACACGGTCATCAATATGAAAGAAGGTAAAGGAAGGAAACCTCACAGAAAAAGATCACAGGGAATTCAAAGCATATATTAGAACTTATCTTTGGCAAATGGCAGGGCAAAGTTACCACCTATCATTAGTCACATTGAACGTGAATGGCCTGAACTGTCCAGTTAAAAGACACCGATTGGCTGACTGGGTTTAGGAACAAAACCCATCTATTTGCTGCTTACAAGAAACACATCTTTCCAACAAAGATCCATACAGACTGAAAGTGAAAGGCTGGAAAAAGATATACCATGCCAACAGAAATGAAAAAAGAGCGGGCGTAGCCATCTTAGTATCGGACAACATAAACTTTACCACAAAAACTGTTAAGAGAGACAAAGAGGGACACTATATAATGATTAAGGGATCAATACAACAAGAAGATATAACAATTATCAATGTATATGCACCTAACTACAGGGCACCGGTTTATCTAAAAGATTTGTTAAGGGAATTAAAGGGAGACTTAGACCCCAATACAATAGTACTGGGGGACCTCAATACTCCACTCTCAGAAATAGACAGATCAACAGGACAGAAGATCAACAAGGATACAGTAGATTTAAACGACACTAAAGCCCAAATGGATCTAACAGATATATACAGAACTTTCAATCCTACAGCTAAAGATTTTACATTCTTCTCAGCAGTACATGGAACCTTCTCTAGGATTGACCACATACTAGGCCATAAAGCAAGTCTCAGCAAATTCAAAAGAATTAGAATCATACCATGCAGCTTCTCAGACCATAAAGGAATGAAGTTGGAAATTAGCAACTCAGGAATCCCTAGAGCATACACAAATACATGGAGAATGAACAACATGCTCCTGAATGAACAATGGGTCATAGAAGAAATTAAAAGAGAAATAAAAAAATTTTCTGGAAGTAAATGAGGATAACAGCACAACATACCAAAACTTATGGGATGCAGCAAAAGCAGTGTTAAGAGGAAAGTTTATATCAATAGGTGCCTACATCAAGAAATTGGAAAGGCACCAAATAGATGAGCTTCCAACACATCTCAAGGATCTAGAAAACCTACAGCAAACCAGACCCAAATCTAGTAGGAGAAGAGAAATAATTAAAATCAGAGAAGAAATCAACAGGATTGAATCCAAAAAAGCATTACAAAAAATCAGTCAAATGAGGAGCTGGTTTTTTGAAAAAATAAACAAAATTGACACCCCATTGGCCCAACTAACTAACAAAAGAAGAGAAAAGACCCAAATCAATAAAATCAGAGATGAAAAAGGAAACATGACAACAGACACCACAGAAATAAAAAGAATCATCAGAAATTACTACAAGGACTTGTATGCCAGCAAACACGGAAACCTATCAGAAATGGATAGATTCCTGGACACATGCAACCTACCTAAATTGAACCAGGAAGACATAGAAAACCTAAACAGACCCATAACTGAGACAGAAATTGAAACAGTAATAAAGGCCCTCCCAACAAAGAAAAGCCCAGGACCAGATGGATTCACTGCTGAATTCTACCAGACATTTAAAGAAGAACTGACTCCAATTCTTCTCAAACTATTCAGAACAATCGAAAAAGAGGGAGTCCTCCCAAATTCTTTCTATGAAGCCAGCATCACCTTAATTCCTAAGCTGGAAAAAGATGCAGCACTGAAAGAGAATTACAGACCAATATCCCTGATGAACATAGATGCAAAAATCCTCAATAAAATTCTGTCCAATAGAATGCAACAACACATCAGCAAGATCATCCACCCAGACCAAGTGGGATTTATCCCTGGTATGCAGGGATGGTTTAATGTGTGCAAGACAATCAATGTGATACACCACATTAACAGACTGCAGAACAAAAACCATATGATTATCTCAATAGACGCCGAGAAAGCAATTGATAAAATACAACACCCGTTCATGATGAAAACTCTAAGCAAACTGGGTTTGGAAGGAACATTCCTCAATACAATCAAAGCAATCTATGAAAAACCCACAGCCAACATCCTATTGAATGGGGAAAAGCTGGAAGCATTTCCACTGAGATCTGGTACCAGACAGGGATGCCCACTCTCACCACTGCTATTCAATACAGTTCTGGCAGTTCTAGCCAGAACTATTAGGCAAGAAAAAGAAATTAAAGGGATATGAATTGGGAAGGAAGAACTCAAACTATCCCTCTTTGCAGATGATATGATTCTTTTTTAGGGGATGCAAAGAACTCTACTAAGAGACAATTGGAACTCATAGAAGAGTTTGGCAAAGTAGCAGGGTATAAAATCAATGCACAAAAATCAACAGCCTTTGTATACACAGGCAATGCCATGGCTGAGGAAGAACTTCTAAGATCAATCCCATTCACAATAGCTACAAAAACAATCAAATACCTTGGAATAAACTTAACCAAGGGCGTTAAAGATCTCTACGATGAGAATTACAAAACCTTAAAGAAAGAAATAGAAGAGGATACCAAGAAATGGAAAAATCTTCCATGCTCATGGATTGGAAGAATCAATATCATCAAAATATCCATTCTCCCAAAAGCAATTTATAGATTCAATGCAATACCAATCAAGATACCGAAGACCTTCTTCTCAGATCTAGAAAAAATGATGCTGAAATTTATATGGAGGCACAAGAGACCTCGAATAGCTAAAGCAATCTTGTACAACAAAAACAAAGCTGGAGGCATCACAATACCAGATTTCAGGACATACTACAGGGCAGTTGTAATCAAAACAGCATGGTACTGGTACAGAAACAGATGGATAGACCAATGGAACAGAATTGAAACATAGAAATCAACCCAAACATCTACAGCCAACTTATATTTGATCAAGGATCTAAAACCAATTCCTGGAGCAAGGACAGTCTATTCAATAAATGGTGCTGGGAAAACTGGATTTCCACGTGCAGAAGCATGAAGCAAGACCCCTACCTTACACCTTACACAAAAATCCACTCAACATGGATTAAAGACCTAAATCTACGATCTGACACCATCAAGTTATTAGAGAACATTGGAGAAACCCTTCAAGATACTGGCACAGGCAAAGAATTTCTGGAAAAGACCCGGGAGGCACAGGCAGTCAAAGCCAAAATCAACTATTGGGATTGCATCAAATTGAGAAGTTTCTGTACTGCAAAAGAAACAGTCAGGAGAGTGAAGAGACAACCGACAGAATGGGAAAAAATATTTGCAAACTATTCAACTGATAAAGGGTTGATAACCACAATCTACAAAGAAATCAAGAAACTCCAAAACATCAAAACAAACAACCCACTTAAGAGATGGGCCAAGGACCTCAATAGACATTTTTCACAAGAGGAAATCCAAATGGCCAACAGGCACATGAAAAATGTTCAAGGTCACTAGCCATCAGGGAAATGCAAATCAAAACCACAATGAGGTTTCACCTCACCCCGGTTAGAATGGCTCACATTCAGAAATCTACCAACAACAGATGCTTGAGAGGATGTGGGGAAAAAGGGACACTAACCCACTGTTGGTGGGAATGCAAACTGGTTAAGCCACTATGGAAGTCAATCTGGAGATTCCTCAGAAACCTGAATATAACCCTACCATTAGACCCAGCCATCCCACTCCTTGGAATTTACCCAAAGGAATTTAAATTGGCAAACAAAAAAGCGGCCTGCACCCTAATGTTTATTGCAGCACAATTCACAATAGCCAAGACCTGGAACCAACCTAAATGCCCATCAACGGTAGACTGGATAAAGAAATTATGCGATATGTACTCTTTAAAATACTATACCGCAGTAAGAAACAACGAAATCCAGTCATTTGCAACAAAATGGAGGAATCTGGAACACATCATGCTGAGTGAAGTAAGCCAGTCCCAAAGGGACAAATATCATATGTTCTCCCTGATCGGTGACAACTGACTGAACACCAAAAAGGAATCCTGTTGAAGTGAAATGGACACTATGAGAAACAGTGACTTGATCAGCATAGCCCTGATTGTTAATGAACAACTTAAAACATTATCCCTCTTAGTAGGTTTTTGTCTGTTCTACTTAATATGACTGGTTTAATTCTGTAATTAATACACAGTTATTCTTAAGTGTTTAAATTTAACTGAAATGTGATCCCTGTTAAACATAAGAGTGGGAATAAGAGAGGGAAGAGATGTACAATTTGGGACATGCTCAAGCTGACTTGCCCCAAATGGTAGAGTTAGAAACATACCAGGGTACTCCAATTTAATCCCATCAAGGTGGCATGTACCAATGCCATCTCACTAGTCCAAGTGATCAATTTCAGTTCACAATGGATCATAATGATAGGTCTAAGAATCAAAGGGAGCACATAAACAAGTCTAGTACCTGCTAATACTAACCGATGGAATAAATAAAGGGGAGAGCGATCCAACATGGGAAGCGAGATACTCAGCAGACTCATAGAATGGCAGATGTCCTAAATAGCACTCTGGCCTCAGAATCAGCCCTAAAGGCACTTCGATCTGGCTGAAAAGCCCATGAGAGTATTTCAGGCATGGAAAGCCAAGACACTCTGGCAAAAAGATCTCTGTGAGTGAGATCCCAGTGGAAAGAACAGGTCTTCAAAGAGGGAGGTGCCTTTCTCTGAAGGGAGGAGAGAACCTCCACTTTGACTATGACCTTGTCTAAACAAGATAAGAGTCGGAGAACTCAAGGGGCTTCCGTAGCCTTGGAAACTCATGACTGGTGCATAGGGAGATTACTGATGCCATAAACAGGAGTGTCAATTTGTAAAGTCAACAACAGGAGTCACTGTGCACTTACTCCTCATGTAGGATCTCTGTCCTTAATGTGCTGTACATTGAGACTTAATGCTATAACGAGTACTCAAACAGTATATTTCACTTTGTGTTTCTATGGGGGTGCAAACGATTGAAATCTTTACTTAATGTATACTAAACTGATCTTCTGTAAAAAAAAAAAAAGAAGAAATTATCAATTCCCAACTTAACTCTCACTGGGATTAAACATGACAATAGGTCTGATCTGATTTCATCATCATTTAAAAAATCATCTATTATTTTTCACTTTATGTTTCTGTGTGGGAGAAAACTGTTGAAATCTTTACTTAATGTATGTTAAACTGATCTTCTGTATATAAAGAGAATCGAAAATGAATCCTCATGTGAATGGAAGGGGAGAGGGAGTGGGAAAGGGGAGGGTTGCGGGTGGGAGGGACGTTATGGGGGGGAAGCCATTGTAATCCATAAGCTGTACTTTGGAAATTTATATTCATTAAATAAAAGTTTAAAAAATTAAAAAAAAATCACTCCGTCCCTTACATTGAAAATTAATTGTAGAGGGGCAAAAAAACATTGTGGGGGCATTTGGTGCAGACACTGAGACACCACTTGGATAACCATGTCCCATATCAGAGTGCATGGGTTTGAGACTGACTCTGCTTCTGATTCCAGCTTCCTGCTAGTGCACAACCTTGGAGGCAACAGGTGGTGGCTTAAGTATTTGGGTTCCTGCCATTGATATGAAAGATCCAGATAGAGTCTGGGCTTCTGACATTGTCCTGCCCATTGCTGGGTATTACAGGCATTTAGGAAGTAAACCAGTGCATCAGAGATTAATCTCTTTCTCTCTCTCACTCTCACTCTCTCACTGCCTCTCTCTTTAAATTAAAATGAAAATAATAATGACTTTAAATAATTTTAAAGGGGAGTAGCCAAGAATGGCAACAAGGAGATATATCTGGGGTTATTACAATAAACCAGGTAAGCATAGTCTGGACTAGGGTAGCAATGAGAGAAGCAAGGGAAAGTGGTTATATTTTTCATGTAAACCAATGAAGTTTCCTGATGGATTGAGTATAAAATCCAGAATAAAGATAACAGTCCAACAGACTCCATAATTTGGGATCTTAGCAAATGGAAATATGCAAATGTCATCAACTGAGATAAAAAAAATGTTCATAGAAGAGGTGTAGGAGTAAGATCTGGAGATCTATTATAGACACTTTAAAACAAGAAAGTCCTGGAGCCAGCACTGTGGCATGGCCAGTAAAGCTGCCACTGCAGTGCAGGCATCCCATATGGGCACCAGTTCTACACACAGCTGCTCCATTTCTGATCCAGCTCTCTGCTATGGCCTGTGAAAGCAGTTCAAGATGGCCTAAGTCCTTGGGCCCCTGTACTCATGTGGAAGACTTATAAGAAGCTCCTGGATTCAGTTTCAGCCATTGCAGTCATCTGGGGAGTGAATCAGTGGATGGAAGATCTCTCTCTCTGCCTCTGCCTCTCTAAATCTGCCTTTCAAACAAATAAATAAATATTAAAAAAAAAAAAAAGAAACTAGAGGGGTCGGCGCCATGTCGCACTAGGTTAATCTTCCACCTGTGGCGCCGGTGTCCCATATGGGCAGCCAGGTTCTAGTCCCAGTTGCTCCTCTCCCAGTCCAGCTCTCTGCTATGGCCTAGGAAAGCAGTAGAAGATGGCCCAAGTCCTTGGGCTCCTGCACCTGCATGGGAGACCAAGAAGAAGCACCTGGCTCCTGGCTTCGGATCTGCGCAGCTCTGGCCATTGTGGCTGTTTGGGGAGTGAACCAGCAGATGGAATACCTTTCTCTCTGTCTTTCCCTCTCAATGGCTGTAACTCTATCTTAAAAAAAAAAAAAAAAAAAAAAAAAAAAAAAAACTAGAAAGTCCTACTGACAGCCTTGCTATAATAGCATCTTCTATGGAGTCCAAGACACCTGATTTTGTTCTAGTCTAGGGTCAAGCATCCTGTTTGAAAGAATGAAGGCTACCCCCTTAGTCAGCTAACAGTAATAACAGTTAAGGGATCCTTCAGTTTTTGACTTAATGGAAGATAACAACAACAAAAATAACTTCTCATGACTAAAAGAGCACTATATGTTGAATACTATATAAATATATATATGTTGATTTAAATATAGATGTCAAAGTTAATTTCAAATTATTTACAGTAGATTTCAGTCTCTAGTTCCTTCTTACACAACTCACCTACAATTTTTATTGAGTCATGCCTTAAATAGCAAGCATACAATGTGCATTTCTCCATGTGTTTTGCAGTTTCTGAAAATCTGTTTCTTTATGTACCAAATCTTTTCCCTGCTAACATGCACTGGGATCTGTCATTGCCATATCTTGGACCCTACAATTCAGAGATTTGCTAGCTTTTGTCCTGGCATTAAGTTCAAAGTCACTTTTATAGGGCAAGTAACTGAGAAGCTTTCTCTCCATTTGGAGACTTCTGCAAAATGCTGACAGCATAAACCCTGCTAAAGCTCTATTCAGCATTTCTATAATCTTGGCACTCTGGATTCTCTTTCTCCTCTACTTTTGAATTACTATGTTATTATTTAATTTTGTTTTTTATTTTATGTCTTCTTTTACAAAGCTTTTAAGAATGATTTCAATCATGTATACAATATGAAAGGGCATCATACTTGTATAAATGTATGCCATCACACAGAATTTTCTAAATGGTACACTATCAATAGTTTTCAGGTGCACAAACATACTCATCTGTTCACTTTCAGGGAAGCCAGATGTGGCTGGGTAATGCAATATGGGGCTGGTTGTTTCAGTCTTAATTTCTTTCCCTGGGTGTTTGATATGGTTGGAACGTATCAGATCCAAAATTTACGTGCTGAAATTTAGTGGTCAATGTGATAATAGTAAGAGATGGGACTATTAAAGGCTCATTAGGTCATAAGGATGTCTCCTTCATAAACAGAATATGGCCGTGACATAAGAGAATTCAGGCAGCCTTTACTTCTTCTTCCCCTCTGCCTCCCTGTGGTGTGAGGACACAGCATACCTCCTTTCTAGCAAATAAAAGGAAAAGACACTATCTTAAAAACAGAGCATGCCTTGCCAGAAAACCAAACATGCCAGAGCCTTGAACCTGGCCTTCTCAACTTCCAGAACTATAAGAAAGTAAATTTCTGTTCTTCATGAATTTCTTAGTCTCACATATTTTCTTGAAGCGGCACAAATGGACCAAGACTGTCACACAAATATAAGCATTTTCTTTGTTTACACAACATTGTAAACCTTAATAAACTTGTTATAAGATGAATAAGTTCAGGGAATTTAATGCATAACATGTGACTTTAGTTAATAATATTGCATGTTTACTTACAGTTTACCCAGAAAGGATAAGTATTTATGGTGATAGATGTGTTAATTTGATTATAATAGTCACTGCACAATGTCCACATATATAAAACCATACCTTGGTACATCTTGAATATTTAAAATTTCCATTTCCCAAATATGCATCAAATCTGGAAAAAAGGAAAATTATACACCACAAGAGAGAAAGAAAAAAAGTTAAAAAAAGAAGGGAGAAAGCACCTTTAAAGTTGTTAAGAACAAGATTCCTAGTGGAAAAAGGAAAAAGGAACCAGAATAAAATTTTAAAATAACTGTTACGATGGAAGTATTATTCTGAGAAACTTCAGAGTAATTTATCCAGCTCTCTCTCCTTTTTGTAGTGAATAACATCTTTCACAATGCAGCTACCATGCTTATAATGATGAATTCTGAATACATATTTCTACACTGCCTATCAATATTGGATGAGGCCGGCGCTGCAGCTCACTTGGCTAATCCTCTGCCTGTGGTGCCAGCACTCTGGGTTCTAGTCCCAGTTGGGGCGCCGGATTATGTTCCTGGTTGCTCCTCTTCCAGTCCAGCTCTCTGCTATGGCCTGGGAGTGCAGTGGAGGATGGCCCAAGTGCTTGGGCCCTGCACCTACATGGGAGACCAGGAGGAAGTGCACTGGCTGTAGTGGCCATTTCGGGGGTGAACCAACAGAAAAGGAAGACCTTTCTCTTTCTCTCTCTCTCTCTCTCTCTCTCTCTCTCTCACTGTCTAACTCTGCCTGTCAAAAAAAATGGATGAAAATATAAATTGAGACATTATTCCATAAAATTAGTTTAATGATGACATAAACCTTATAACATTAATACACCACTCTTGCTAACACTGCTTGATGTAAGAAGAAAATATGGAAATATCCTGAAGGCCTCATTTCCTTTAGGTAGTATTCCATAAATATTATCATAAATCTTTGTTTTATTTCTATAACAATTTGTCATCAAAGAGTTCAAAGAACATTTCCTCAAAGAAAGTATTCAGTGCAAATGCTCTGTTACATATTTAGCAACCAACTAAGCAGAAAGTTAAGTTAGGCTAACATTTTCCTATGAAAAGTCTAATCAAAGCACATCTTAACAAAGGGCCACCTCACTTGAATGGCCAAGAGATTACTTACAAATGGTGCCAGCAATTTTCTCTGCTAACAGGGTTGGTTTCAAGCTACAAATGGATAAATAGCCAAAGCCTCAAGTCTCTAGATTTATATGAAATTTTAGCTTGGAAAATCTGGGGCAGGAATTGCCAAACATCACTCAGAACAACAGGAAACCAGCTGTGATAAGTGATTAACAGGATGGTTAATTTTGGAACCTACAGTATATACACCTACTTTTTGAAATAAGTTTTCTGTTCCCTGGGGTAAATAAGTGATTTGTCTTACTGTACCCAATTATTAGATAGAAACCAATTCAATACCATTTGACACCTTGCAGGGTAGATGACTTAGATATCAGAGTTCTGATATTAATCCTTCCTTTTTGGAAATAACAAAGCAAGACAAACTGAGTATGGTGATTATTTCTAGACTGTAATGATAAAACCCAACCATCAGTAATTAACTAAAATAATTAGCATTGTTGAGTGTTCACAATGTGCCAAGCTCTGTTCTAACTGCTGTATATTTGCTAACTCATTCAACCCTTACAACTCTTTGGGGTGTTGTAGAATCCCCCAAAACCTGGCTTTGCTTACCTGTTATGCAGCAAGCCAATCACTGACAGCTTGGTAGAAGAGAAAAGTAGGTATTTCTTTGCAGAGCAAAGATCAAGGAGTTGCACAGCTATCATTTCATTATGACTCCTCAAGAAGTTGGGGATAGTTTCTTATAGACTGAAGTTGGGGTTGAGAGTTACATATTCAGCTCATGTCCCTCCTTTGATTGGGCAGCAATATGATGCTCTTTAGGGGAATACTGATGATGAAAATGTGGGCTATGGCCGGTCAATCAGGTGGTAGTTACTTTTTGCTCAGGACCTGGGTTTCCTAGAAAAATACTCAAGAGAAGACTTAGCATCAAAATGTTATCTATGGAGGAGATAAATGACATAATGAGTCTTGTGGTCAGAGACCCTGTGGAAATGGCTGATCACTCCCTCACTTCAGTGAGTTAATTTAGTAAAAGGTTGATCTGCAAATAAACTAAGGTAAGAAGAGAGACAGCGACTGGGAGCCTACGGTCTCATAATATCTAGTGTCTATATCAATCCAGTGTATAGGGGCTTGGTTTCAGAGGTAAATACAATAGTATCCTCATTTTATACAAAAGGAAACTCAGAGATTATTTCACTTGTTTAGATCATACAATTAGAAATCAGAGAAGAGAGGATACCAACGATGGCAGTCTGGTCCTATAGTTAACATTTATATCATAATTTTTTATACTTCTCAGTATAGAAAAATTATCTTTCTATTCCCACAACTAGAAAATACATGTCCATCTTGCCTAAACAGGATACCATTAATATTCAATTTCAAAGGCAAAGTTTAAAAAATACCATAAATTACTATCTTTTCTGTCATCTCTGAAATCTATTCTAGTTGCTTAAAACTACAATGATTCTGTCATTTTTAAATCTTGTTCCTTTTTTTCTTTTGTAATGAAGTGCTACTTCCAAATTAGGGTCCAAACTATGTAGTATTTTTTTAATAGAACAAAAACCTACAAAGCAGGATATTCCTGCACAGTTCCATTAAATTGTCTCTCAAATACTAGGTGGTTAATGCTCAAATTTCATGCTCAAAATTTTGCAAGCCATCCTTAACAATAAATCTGGAGATGGGTGTTTAGCACAGCAATTAAAATGCCACTTGGGACATCCACATCCCGTTTCAGAGTGCCTGTTTTGAGTCCCTACTCCTGGGCTTCCAATCCAGCTTCCTGCTAATGTGCATGCTGGGAGGCAGTAGATCAGGGTGAACTTTTCTCTGCCAAGGGCCTTTTCTGTATTTATGACATCGTTTGTGGGTCATACAAAATTATCAACTTAAAAACTAGCCTGATGTATTTGGCCAAACATTTAATTAACTCACCCCAATGTGATGGCTAGAACTGCTTCTCTTTGGTGGGCATGTAATGTTAGTTGGTATTGATGATACTGCTACTCCCAACTCCTTCTCCAGGTTTTTGTCAGTCTGCAGCCCAGTCGACCCTTTGCAATGGGAAGTTTTGAAGAGGACTGCTTGTAGCAGTAAGTTGTTCCAAACACAGATGCATATTTAAATACATGTCTCCTCAAAGTGGAAAATTCATCACTGCTTATGGAAGTGACATTTATAAATCTCAAGCAGTGGGAGATTGTTGTACCCAGCTTCCAGCTCATCACTGCTTTGCAGCAGGATGATTTTCTTTTGTAGATTATCAGGTATATCAACTGGGTCCATATTGAATGATGTAGCAAAGATACTCAATTCCATTAGTTTATTTTTCACATCTTTGAATCTTTCATTACATGTCTTAATAGATTTATACATTCACCAGCATAGTCAAGCATCAGAAGGTTTTTGTCCTCCTAGAGTGCGGAAAATTCAGCATGTAATCCTTTTGAATTACACTTCACAGCCTTAATTTAGCTTCAGATGATTTCATATTTGTCAGCAGGGAGCTGAGAAGCTGGTTGGAACCCTGCATCTTCATATCTCTGAGAGGTATTTGGTAATGTCCCCCATGAATGCTAGATCACACAACCACTTGCTGTGATTAAGTTCTCTGACAAGTTTTCCCTCATTTCTATTAATTTCTTGACTTCATCCTGCAGTTAGCAGAACCTCATGAGCCTGTTCTCTTGACTCAACCACCACACTACACAGTGATAAACAAGATAAATAACTTTACTCAGAGTCAGGTCATTCAGTGACTCCTTAAACTGGTGGCTGTTAAACCTTTTGGTTTTTTACAAAATTTATGCATGACATTACTGTTGTCCCACATTGTTAAGATACAATGTATACAGACTTTCTTGGTGTATAATCCAGTGGCATATAATTAAATCATTTGAATCAATACTAAAAAGACTCAGTCCTTTCTTGACAAACACAATTAACCTTCAACCATGGCTAGAGCTCCATCTATTGTAAGGCCACTTTTCAAATGTTATCTCAAGTTTTTTCATTGATAAAACAAGTCTCTCTCACAAGTCCTCACCTCTTGCAGTGGCATACATGCTTTCAGAAACAGCAGTTCCTCTCACGTGTCAAACTGTAATAATCCCACAAATGAAAATGGCCAGCCAGGCAGTGCTTGTTATGTCTGTTGTCTCATCACAAGCCAAAGAGAAAACTTGGAAATCTCCACAATCATACAGTGTTTTTCTAAATATCTTTTTTTTTAACTTTTATTTAATGAATATAAATTTCCAAATTACAGCTTATGGATTACAATGGCTTCCCCCCCATAACGTCCCTCCAACCCACAACCCTCCCCTTATCCACTCCCTCTCCCCTTCCAATATCTTATATTGTCAATAATCCAATCTAAGATGGCTCTCCAAGACTCACCTACACTCTGAAATAATTTTATTTTCTGCTAACAACTCTACAGCAGCCACTGTGCACTTTCACAATTTCTCCCCCTGCATGAGGCCTCAGCTTCTTTGAGATTAACTTGTTCAACAGAAAACTCATCTGAATAACAACATTTCTGTCAGGAAGCCTGGTGAAAACTCAAATACGGCTGAAGAGTATTGACTCTATCCAGATGCATTTGTCCTCCAAATTCATTGAATTTAGCATGATTTCAGCAGTAATGACGCTCCAGATTGGCTTTTTGCATTACAGTTAATGTGAACTAGGCATGCAGGTGTGATATGGCGTAACTAGGCAGTTAAAGCTGAGGCCAGCTAGAACTACTGCATCCCTGCAAAGTGATGCTATCTCTTTAACCATTGGTATGATACATCCACCTTCCTAGGATGCACATGAGGCATCCAGGACCAGGCCACGGGCTCACACCCAACCCTGTTTGTATGTGTGATTTAGAAGTAGCACCCTCTTTCTCATAAAAAAGAGGCGAGGGCAGGAGAGAAGTTTCATGACACTTTGGACCAGTTTTAGATCTCTCCCACTCTTGGATGGATCTCTCACACTCTGGTTTAGAGGTACCATTTTTAGGATTTTTTTTCTGTATCTCATTTATCGGCCACTCTTTGGCCCATTCATGTTGGGTATTCCTGTGTCCCACCCAGGCACATGAATGTGTGTTTATTCCCTCACTATTACATAAATTCTGTTCCTATTTGCACACAATACTAATCTGCACTTAGGGGTTTACTTCTGCAGGAGACAAGAACTTCAATAAGAAATTAATATATTCATTGCCCACATCAGGCTTGTCATTCAGTTCAACAACAAATTAACCATCTTCCATTTCTCTTGGAAAGATCAACACTTATCATCAACTTTTTGTTAGTTTGTATCACCATGTGTAGAATGTCACACCTCTTAAGTGTTGATAACTATCCAATGTGTGTATACCCAGCAACATTAATACTTTGTTTTAATTGCTGTTCCAATTAGGCATCTTGGATTTGGAACACATTCAATATTAATATCATTAGCTTGAGATTTTTTCATGTACTGTAATTTCTTTAATCTTCATTTTAGATTGTTAGTTTTTGCTACTATTGTTGATCATGGATGCACGGATAAAGGTTGGATCAGAGTTATTGTCTGTGTCGACAAACAAGTTGAAAACATCATCTGTCAATCATCAGAAGCCAGGTCATTGACATAGCAAGGAACCACCTTATTGCATCACCAAATGGGCATAGTTTCATCATAGTGTGTTAACACATGCGCAACATGTACACTCCACGCCTGCCTGGCACTAACTGTCATTTGAGTCATTGTCATACAGATGCACTGTCCTCTGAGTCACCATCATACAGGCAAGTGAACTGCTGGCAATACGTGAGAAGTATATGTGTCTGTCTCATCACGTACTCATACGTGTCCTGTCTATCCTGTCTATCCCTCAAAAGTTACGTTTTTATGAGTCACTTAGTATAAATTTATGTTGCTATACGAAAAGCTCCTAGGTTTATTTAATTTTGAGTATCACCCGCAGTTGCCTTGTTAGGACCAGACCAAATGATTTCATGATCCTTGTATGCACTGCATGTTGCTGTTCCCCACCCATAAAGTAGATGGTAGATCAAGTGCTTGGGACCCTGCCACCCACATGATAGACCTGTGGATGGAGTTCCAGGCTCCTGGGTACAGCTTGGCCCAGCTCTGATTGCTGTGGAAATCTGGGAGTGAATCAGTAGATGGCAGCTCTCTCTTAATCTCTCTTTTCACCCCCCACCCCACTTCAAGTAAAGTAAAATAAATAAAATATAAATCTTATAAAAATAAATAAATTCTGCAAGAAACATTTTAGGAAACCTGTGTGATGCTTTGGAAACACCCTTCAGTGGTTTAAGTAGGATTTTGAAGGTCTTTCTTATGTGTGGGTAAAAAATGTGAAATGTCTTTGAATTAACCATCCATGCAGACAATGAAGTTCTAATGTTTTCTAAAAATTGCCTTTAAAATTAAGATTTTAAAGAATAACAAGATATCAAGGTTGATAGGGAATTCTGTTCTTTTCCCTTTTGTTTCCATTCTTTGCATGCAAAATCCATTTCTCTTCATGTGACACCTGTTTCTTAATGATGACAGAAGAGTCATGTTATAGTACATGTACATTTTTATGAACATCCTTATAACAAGGTATGACTGTGCCTTCCTTTTGTTAGATCCTTTTCCTCATGTATGGTTTTCTCTTTTGACTTTTTTTCTAGCTCTGTGTATTTCTGATAAGGTGTTTTTTTTCCTGTTCTAGGAAATGGATGAGGTATGTAGGTGACTCTAATTTGCAAACAACATTTTGACAAATATAGGAAAATGGAAGTATCCAAGAAATGATTGCAGAAGCTTATTTGCTATCAGAAGTGAGACTGGATTCTGAAGAAAATAATTTGAAGAGCTTAAGAGTGTATTTACGTGGTAGCAATTTATTTACTAGGACAAGGAACAATAAACCAGTTCACAAATGAATGGTTTTAGTTATTTAGAGTTAGCTTAGTTTAAGCTTAATTATTTAATATTTCACATTAATTCAATGTATTACGTTACTTTAATTTCCCTTGTTTCATTTTATTAGACCTTGAGAACAAAATAGTATTTTAAAGATCCTTATCAACTCATTAAAATTGGCCTCTGCCCTCAAGTTGCTCAAAATTTAGACAGTAGGTACACTAAATAAGTAATGAATACTAATTTCCCAGTTAAATTCAGTTATGCAAAACTGGAACTTCCAGCTCAACAGTGAAAATCTTTAATCTAGCCTATTTGAGACACTTCTGGTTTAAAACTTAGTTTCTTTACTATTAAGTCCATTAACATAGGAGTCTAATTACCCACTTAAATTGGAGGGTGCAGGAATAGGCGCATGTCCAGTCTATAGCAGTCACCTGACCTTTCTGGGCCCTACTGATGTTTGATGTAGTCTTCCTGCTGTTGGCCTTTGGCTGCTGAGCCTACTTTTTCTGGAAGCTTATGAGACTTGTGGTACCAAGTGGCATCCATCAGTCAGAGTCATGCAGTTGTGTTTCACGAGTTTCACTGGGTCACTTACTAACTTTCTCTTTCTCTGATGGCCATGAGAAAAGTTAAACATTATTCCAGGGCACTGAAGTGTGGGGACTTATTTCAGGCCACCTCAACTTCATTCCCTGACTTTTTGACTTTGCTATTCCAACCTCTTGTCTATTTTAGATGTGGGGCTCCTAAAAGTAGGGCATCAGTACCTATGATACAAGTATATGGGTCCCAGAAAACTGTAATTTATATCCTGACATGTTTTGAGGAAGGCATGTTCGGATTCCCACACCTTCTTCCAATACTTCCTTTTCATTTCTCCATTTCTTATGTGATATTTCTCCCCAGATTCTCTGCACGGTATAAAAATCATTTTCATGTCAATATGCACCCTCCCTGACTTCAGTAAATGATATAAAAACCTGAAACCTCCAGGCCTTTGAAACTGAGTGGAACACTGATTCCTTTCTGGCTTGCTTCATTTTTGCAGTAAGGCATGCAGAAAGCCTCAGTGCTGGGCCATTACAACAAAGCATGCAGGCATCCCTCTGTATCTGCAAGGGATTGATTCCAGGACCCTTGGCAGATACAAAATCTGCAGATGCTAAAGTTCCTTTTTATAGAATCATATAGTATTTGCATATAACCTATATAATACTTCCAAATACCTTAAATCATCTCTATGCAATGTAAATGTTATGGTGACAAAAAAATAAGTCTGCTTATTGAGTACTTATGCAATCTTTTCTGATAGTTTTGACCCACAGTTGGTTGAATCCACATATGCCGAACTTTTAAATACAGAGGACAGTACATGAGACCTGTGGTCCCACGTGCATTCAGCAGTCATGGCTGTGCAGTCTGTGTGTACATGCCAATTCTCCTTCTAAGTTACCAACTACATTTTTTTTAATATTTATTTATTTATTTGAAAGGCAGAGATACAGAGAAGCACAGGTGGAGGGAGGGATGGAGGGAGACAGAGAGAGAGAGAGAGAGAGAGAGAGAGGTCTTCCATCCACTGGTTCACTCCCCAGATGGCCGCAACAGACAGAACTGTGCCAATCTGAATCCAGGAGCCAGGAGCTTCTTCTGGGTCTTCCATGTGAGTGCAGGGGCCCAAGGACTTGGGCCATCTTCCACTGCTTTCCCAGGCCACAGCAGAGAGCAGGATCGGAAGCAGAGCAGCTGGGACTTAAACCAGTGCCTGTATGGGATTCTGGAACTGCAGGTGGTGGCTTTACCCCACACCACACCGCTGGCACCCCAACTACATTTTTTAAAGATATTCATTTATTTAAGAGGCAGAGTTACAGACAGACAGAGGGAGAGACTGAGAGGTCTTCCATCTGCAGATTCACTCCCCAAATGACCACAACGGCTGGAGCTGGGCCAATCTGAAGCCAGGAGCCAGGAGCTTCTTCAGGTTTTCCCAAGTGCGTGCAGGTGCCTAAGCAATTAGGCCATCTTCCACTGCTTTCCCAGGCCATTAGCTGGATTGGAAGTAGAGTAGCCAGGACTCAAACTGGTGCCCATATGGGATGTTGGCACCACAGGCAGAGGCTTAACCTATTATGCCACAGGGGCGGCCCTACCAGCTACATTTGATGCTTGACTGTTCGTCTTATAGCTAACACATACTGGTCAGTCTCAAAGACAACAAGAACTATTTACAAATGCAACTTGGATGACAAAAAGGAACTGTTCTGTTGGTTTTGTATAGGCCACTTACTTACATTACAAAGAAAGCTACTACACTATCCAAGAAGAACTTGTGAAGAAGATGTTAGAGAACACCTTGGGACCAAAGCTGACCATTAACTTCCAGTCTATAAAATAGGCTGGGGAGTCTGAGACAATTTAGTAGAGAATTATAGTCTTTCTTTGAAGATAATTATTGATGGGCTGTAAGACATTTGAATAGCTTCATTAATGAATCCTCAGAAGTTTAAGGGATACAGAAGACTGATCTGACTCATGTACAAGAGAGTTAAAGGGTAAGAAACATTAGAGTGGAAGGTTAGGCTTTGGGAAATGTAGTAAATTTGCCTATGTGAGAGAAAGAGAGGTATCAAGCCTGGAGTGGAATATTCTTAAATGAATTTTTTTCCCAAAAGAGCCAGCTCGATAGGTGCTACAAGATCATTGAGAGTTGGTGTGAAAGGGGTACATCACCTGTATCATGTAACTGTAGGTGAAAGATCTACAGTGGAGAAATATCTGAAAACTGAATTGAGAGTCTATTTAGCTTTAAATATCTAGCAGAGTCAGGATCAATGTCAGCTAACAATAGCACTAGACTAGTAACACTTTTCCTGGCCCTTAGACCTTGCCTGCATTTCCTATTCTACTCTTCAGTTCTGAGGAAGTCAGAGTGCTTAGTGAGTGGAAGAGGAAAAGGAAAATGCTAGGAAACAAAATAGAAATATTGACAACTCTGCCCCTTAGTTACTTTAGGACCTGAATCTGGAGTATCTGCAGGACAGAGGCTTCCACAGAGGGGTGTGAGTGGGAGGGAAAATATGGGGGGGGGGGGGGCGCCATTGTAATCCATTAACTGTACTTTGAAAATTTATATTTACTAAATAAAAAATAAATAAAAAAAGAACATACCAGAATTCAAAATGTCATCTAACTTGTAGTGCATCACAATTTTCTTTTCCTCTGCTATCAACCAGCTGGAACATAAGGAATTCTGAAACCAGAAGTGCCATCAACATGGAAAGACAGAGTTAGAGAAGAAGCTATCTAGTTTTGAAGTAATGAGCAGGAAAGATATAAGATCTCTTAACACTGTGAGTAGTTAAAATTTCCCCCTAAGATTGGCAATAAATCAAGGACATACATTCTCTCCATTCCTATTCAATACCACACTGGACTTCTTAGGCAAGACAAAATAAAGTCATACAAGTACACGCACACACAACACACACACACACACATGAAAATGTCAATTTTACTCTATTAATTCAAAAACTAAAATGAAGAGTGAAAATAAGTTGTGAAGGAATTTCTTGTTCTCTCCTTTTACTTTCTGGTAATAGACAACAGCTTGCCAACAACCTCTAGCCAGACTGGATTATCCTACCAGACATGCATTAAATTGTCTAGCCGAGATGTGCCTCTTAATCACACAAGCACATTACTGAAGGTGTTCTCCAAGAATTACAGAAGAACTTCCAAAAATTTTGCCAGAATAAGATTTGCCAAAAAAGAAAGAAAGGGAGAAAGAAAGAAAAAAGACTCATGGAAGCCAGACCCTGTTATTCTTGGGAAGCTTAATTGCCAAACCAAACCCTGTCAATTATAAGATAACATTTACATGGAGTTTGGATGATTTCCTTTTTTACCAAGGGAATGGGGCATTTACATTTTCCTGATTTAAATACGTCAAACTGAACATTATTTCTTTTGGGAAATACTTGCTCAATACTAATTGCAAAGTTAACATTGCCATTATAAAGATTGCAAAATGAGGCCTCTTTGTAAATACGTCATGATCATGTAAAGGGATGATTTGGTTAAGAAAAAAAACCTCAAGAAAATCTATTCTTTGGTCATACATGTGGGATGTTAAATATACATATATATATAATTTCTTTACTGGATCAAAATCTCAATAAATGTATAAATACTATATATATATATATATATATATGTATATATGAATTTGTTCATATAGTGAAAACATTCAATAACCCTAGGAAAAGTATGGGTTTTTGTCCTCAGAAAAATAAAATAAGTATCATGGAATCAAATAAAGAACATTTCCTGTGTTTCTCTTTTTTTCTTTTTTTTTTTTTTTTTTGAACAGGCAGAGTGAATAGTGAGAGAGAGAGAGAGAGACAGAGAGAAAGGTCTTCCTTTGCCGTTGGTTCACCCTCCAATGGCCGCTGCGGCCGGCACACTGCACTGATCCGAAGGCAGGAGCCAGGTACTTATCCTGGTCTCCCATGGGGTGCAGGGCCCAAGCACTTGGGCCATCCTCCACTGCACTCCTGGGCCACAGCAGAGAGCTGGCCTGGAAGAGGGGCAACCGGGACAGAATCCGGTGCCCTGACTGGGACTAGAACCCCGTGTGCCGGCGCCGCAAGGTGGAGGATTAGCCTATTGAGCCGTGGTGCCGGCCTCAACAAGACTATTTCCTAACAGGCAGTAGAAAGCATCTACACTCCCCAAAACAGGGCTTTTAGAAATGATTTGACTTTTAAAGGAACATCAATAATAATGGAGCAGCATCAAGAGTAGTTCTTAGGGCCGGCGCCGTGGCTCAATAGGCTAATCCTCACCTTGCGGCGCCGCACACCGGGTTCTAGTACCGGGTTGGGGCGCCGGATTCTGTCCCGGTTGCCCCTCTTCCAGGCCAGCTCTCTGCTATGGCCAGGGAGTACAGTGGAGGATGGCCCAGGTGCTTGGGCCCTGCACCCCATGGGAGACCAGGAAAAGCACCTGGCTCCTGGCTCCTGCCATCGGATCAGCGCGGTGCGCCGGCTGCAGCGGCGGCCATTGGAGGGTGAACCAACGGCAAAAGGAAGACCTTTCTCTCTCTGTCTCTCTCTCACTGTCCACTCTGCCTGTCAAAAAAAAAAAAAAGAGTAGTTCTTAGAGTGGAGGATCTTGTTCAGCCAGTGTTTCTTTCTCATAAATGCATTGCAATCTCATTTCAGTAACTATTTAGAGTCTAAATTTTATCTTCTAAAGCTACTGAAACAACCCAGCTCTCAAATCTCTTCCTTGCTTTTCTGATAGAGATACAAGAGAACTGAGCACACAGGCTAGTAAGTGAATAATCACCCATGACAGAATCTTCAAATGTCCCCTGTTATTTTTATCACTTATGTGTTTTCAATGTCTGTAGACATTATAAATATGGCATTTATAAAGAGTGTGGTATGTTTCTTAGAGTAAGTGAGATAAACAAAAGCAAGAATTTGTGTACCTATGGAAAGCATAAAATCTGTTTATATTAGTAAAAAATTTAGGAATTCATTTAGAGTAGCAGGTGGATTGGAGAAAAAAACTAGAATTCAAAGTAGTGATTTCACAGTAGTTATTTCATTCCACATATAACAGACACACATGTACTGATTTGGAGATGGAAATCTATCTTCCTCAGGGAAGAAGAGATGGGCAAGGAGACGGCTGCCATTCTACTCCTTGATAGGAGGCTCTAGGATCTACTTTGCCATTTATCTCTTCTAGGGAAGGAGGAGCAATTTGTCCCAACCAATGGCAGTCCAGCTCTCCTGTCTGTGCAAATCCTAGCAAACACGCATATATTCAGCAGTAGTTCTTTCCCCAAACATACCTCCTCCCTCTTGATCTCTGATCTAGTCATAGTTGTCTAGATAAGTATGTCAATAATCAAATAACTATCAATAACATATCTGGAAAAAATTAACAGCAACAGGCATATGATGTCCATATATTTTCCTTCTCTCCTTTGCTGACTGATGTTCTCCCTTGGACAGATTTTATGTCTCCTTACTCACAGGCAATATTTCTGTATGCCTATGCAACTCAAATAACCTCCACTTACTGCACACCAATTTATACAAAGTAATGTAGATGAATTTCTTTGATCTTGGGAACATTGCTACCATTAACCCCCTTCCATGAATAAATATGTTAAACCTCTTAGAAACTGCATAGCTGACCATGGCCTGTCTAACCATTTGAAGCTCAGTGGGGATTCTGGTCAGGGTCTGTATAATACCACATTGTCTGAGGCCCGACAGACTCATAGACATGGTGACCATATGTCCTGATTTGCTCTGAAGAGTCCAGATGTATATCTGTTCTTCAAGTATCCCAACTTATTTGGCATTATTTTTCTCTGTCCTTTTCACTTTCAAAAGCATTCCAGTTTTGACAGTACACTATGGGATGGCCCTGCCTTTGGAGCTCTGACTATCACAAAGGGAAAAGATGTATATCTCAATTGCTTTCTCTCTCTCTCTCTACCACTTTGCTCTTGATTTATTTTCCTTTACTCCTCACACAAGACCACAGCTTCTCTAGGAGCCTTCCTTCTCAGCTGGTCCTTTAAGAGCTTTTGTCTATATTAGAATTTTACTATAAAGCTGAGACATACCCACCATGAGCCCCAACTGCAAGAGTGCTACTGCTGGATATGAAAACAAAAAAGATTGCTCATAAGGCCTTCCAAAATCATGTTCCCACTGGAGAGCTTTTATTATTTTCTGGGATTTTTGTTTGACAAGAATAGGGATGGAAAATTAGACTAACATTTACTAAATGCCCATAAGCAAGCACTATGCCAAAACTTTTAAATGAATAAATTTCTCATTTTGCCAATGAGAAAACTGAGATTCAAAAGAATTAAGTAACCTTTCCAGAGCCTAAATAATGATCGTAAACTTCAATAGTTGACTCACACACCTTTTTTCTCCAACATGCTGATTCCTACTTATATGTAAATATAATACATCCATGCATTAATATAAAAATATTGTGAACTGGCTTAAGTAGGAGCTATTCATTCTATATTTAAAGAATTTATATTTTGCAAAGACTTTTTTAACTACATGCTTTTTTCTGTGTCACAAAGCCATATGCTGGTATCAGGTGAGCTTGTGGTAACCAGACTTACATTATTCTCCACTGATTTTTTAAAAGATTTTATTTATTTATTTATTTGACAGAGTTTCAGACAGTGAGAAAGAGACAGAGAAAGGTCTTCCTTCCATTGGTTCACTCCCCAAATGGCCACATGGCCAGAGCTGTGCTGATCCGAAGCCAGGAGTCAGGTGCTTTTTCCTGGTCTCCCATGCGGGTGCAGGGGCCTGAGCACTTATGCCATCTTCTACTGCTTTCCCAGGCCACAGCAGAGAGCTGGACTGGAAGAGGAGCAACCAGGACTAGAACCAGCACCCATATGGGATGCTGGTGCCACAGGCAGAGGATTAATCTAGTGTGCCATGGTGCCGACCCGTCTCCATTGATTTTTCTATATAGAGGTACCAGTAATGTGCCTGCCTCTGTGATCAGCTTCACTTGTTTTGGATTTGGAGTGGAGTGGAGCTCTTTATTTGACAGAATAAATTCTGTAAATTTACCTTATTGTTTTTTTTTAAATAAAGCTATGAAGAACTAACAAATAAATTTCCCTGTCATATGTATCAATATCAGTACTCAGAACTCACTTTTAAATTACTAACAATCAAGTGTCATATTATTTAAAAACTAGTGATTTCTTTCAGTTATACACGTTGCCTAAAGAGTCTATGGATTGAGAAGATTTTAGCTTGTTGGAAATATTAAGATAGCCTACAAAAGGTATTGAGCTGAAGCAGAGAAGTACAAGCCAGAAAGGTAATTGCTAAGAGAATAGATTTGAGAAGATTTTAAATGTTTGCACCACAAAAAATAAGTCATGTATATGTTCATTAGTTGAATGTAGTTTTTCCATAATACATCCATACATTAAAATATCAATATGTTATACACCACAAATACAATTTTGTTTGTCAATTTAAGAAATATCAAATAATTACAAATATAATGAACAAACAAAAACAAGTCAGAACAGTCATATTTCCATCAATTGCCCAAACCACCCAAGCTCAATGCCAGCTCACATGCAGGCTGGGCTACTTTTCTCCACAGTTTACTGTCACCAGCCTTGAAACTGATTGTGGCCTCCTGTCAAAAACAAAAGGCATTTTTGTCTTC